AGAAGCTGGGACTTTGTGCAAGATTAGAGTCCAGCAGTGTGCTATAGCATAACATCCAATGCAGATTTAACCAAGTTACAGCCAAGGTAATACGTGAAGGCTGCAGATTTGAGGGCCTCAAACTGAATCACACATGGTCTGACTGCCAGACGTGATGACAGCCTGCCTCTCCCAGCCTCTTCAACTGGAGCAGCAGGTTCTCAGCATTTCTGTGAATCAGGGACTTTGTTCTTGGCTGGTGCAACTACAATACTGGATGTTTTGATACAATTAGCTCATGTCCCTATTTTAGTATATCTCCAGTTTTAGTAAAATGTGTCTTTATTTAATTTGTTGTCATTTAGAAATGACCTTGTTGAGGTAGAGCTTCTCTTTATCATTTTTCCAGCCTTTAGAAGGAAGAATAAAAAGTAAGAAAATACACAGAAATACATGAAGGCTTTAGCCAGCTGAAATCTAGTGTGTTCTGGTATCTATCAGTTTAAACTGCCTACTCAGTAGCACACACTATTCACAAGCTTGCTTACCTGTGCAAACCACTGTGTTAACAGCAGGTCTAGGTTTCTACATCACACTGACCATGTGATAAAACCATTTAAATGCAGCTGATGTCCAAATAAATTTATTTACTGTGGCCAAAGCTACTTAGCCATGTTGTCCTGGCAGTTTCTCATCACTTCCCAAATTCCTTTGGTCGTGTCCCTTTCTCTTCTCCCACAGTTGCTCTGCTTCTTTCCACACATATAAAAATACGATGGCTCCTCCAGGTAATGCCTCCTGCTACGTCCTGATAAAAGAACCTGAACTCAGGCAGAATATTTGATGGGCTTTTCATGGCCATTCTCTCTGTGACCAAGTTCTCAGAACTACATAAAATGAGTCAGAAGAGTGCAGTCAGTCCAAGTTGTAGTTCTGCCCATTATTTTCTGCATCATCATATTCTCTCTCAGCTTCATCAGCTGAAAAACAGGGCTCATAATATTTCCTTACCTACAAAAGCTGTTAGGAGGATTACTGCATTGTTGTGAATTCCACAGATGAAAGGTACTAAGAAGAACAAACTGTAATTATGATTTCAAACCTCTACCCTAGACCTGTCATCCTTACCTTACTGAATAATGCTTACTCAAACAAGGAAATTCTGCCACTATGGTAAAGAAAATCACGAGTGAAGATGACTCTCTTTTGCAATAAGAGCATTTATTCCCTTATGTTCAACACCCTTCTGTCTTCCACTGGGACAACTGGAGTTTCACTTAATTGCAGCCACTTAATGTACACTCTTATGCAATATCCGTTTGAAAACTATTGTTTCAAACATGACTGTAATAGAATAAACTCACTTTTTGTATAATGACATCCACTCTGACAATAGCAGCTCCTGGAAATAGGATTTACCCCAAGTCTGCTGATAAATGAAGTCTCTTGGAGCCCGTGGCGACAAAATGGTCAGTAAGGCCAATTTTCCAGCCTTGAAGCACATGGAGCTCACATCAGCCTTTCACATGTATGTGGGTATACAAAGTGCTGAAGGATGAGTCCAAAAATGGAGGAGAGAATATATTGCTGATAAGGTATTCAAACCACTTCAGCAGCTTTCTCCACCTGTAACCCTTGCGTGGTTTCCAGGTACAAATACTAACAAAGAGCTCCCATGCTAGAGGAAACTGCAGTTTTGGTGCTGCAACAAGCACTGAATGGTGAGCTAAAGAATCAGCAGCTTACGATTGGTGCCTATAGCAGCTGTCAGGAAAATTAGTGCTCTCAGCAGTCCTTGACTATTAAATACTGGTAAGTGCAATCAATGAGGTACTGAGCTTGGTCAGTTCTCATAAAACTTAACAGTCCCACAGAGATAAGTGGCTCTCTGTTCTCTCTACCCTCATTTTCAATTCACTCAAGACCTACCTGTGGTGGAGGGAGCAGAGAAGCAAATAGCCTCAGTGTTGATAAGCCCTGAAAATTGCTCTATTCTTGCATAAATAAGTTTTTCTCACCCAACCCTTCACAGAAAGCTGCCTAGAAGGATGTACTTACACCTTCACATTAAGGGGTTAAAAGCAGTGTAATATCAAGGAGTAAATACACTGCAGGTGTTGGTTAACAAGGTACTAATTGGTTGACTGGAGGTGCATCTTAAAAGACCACAGAGGTTAATCAAAAGGCCTTGGGTGCATTTAGGATGCTCCTTTGAGCTTAGGGAGGAGGCAGCTGTGGTGAAAAGCTCTTGTTGTAGTCTTACATTTTATAGTAAAAGCTGAAAGATATTAATGAATAGGCAGGGTGTTAGATCCTGAGTATGATAGATAGCAAGTCTGATCAGAAGCTAATTTAATGATTGCAGCTATCTCTTCCTCAGCCTGCATGCTCTTACTTTTGGCTTTTACCTGTGCTTTGTTATTCTAATGTCACTATACTGGGGCTTCAGTTTGCAGACCTACAGGTAGGTGTGTGAGCAATGTGCATGTTCCAGTTTGAAAGCTGATAACTGAAATCTCAGGGACACGAATTGGTCTTCCAGCTCAGTTTTATACATAGGGAACATGATTTGGGATGAAATTATCTTATAACCCCCCCATGTGAATTAAAGGAGTATAAGATGTACTTAACAACTGTTCTTGGCTTGCTGTTTTATTATGTTCTGCATTGCCAAACATGAATTTCTCTATGTTCTGAGGAAAACAAACGTTTCATCAATGGCTCTTGCTTGTGCAGAGGACCACCCTCCCCAGTTGTTCCTGCTACTTGTGCTTTTTTCCTTGGCCCTTATAGGGGAATGAACCATTAGGTCAGGGCTTGAACTGGTGATTGAGCACCTGCTGAAGGGCTGTGGCTGCCCATGGAGCACAGGCAAATTGTTTGCACCTGTGTTCCCCTCATGACCAGAAGGGGTGGACCCAGCTCTAGAAAGAGCTCATATAAAGGCCAGGCACTGAAGGGAGAGCATCTCTTGGAGCTGGGCTGCTTCCTGAGGAGTGCTGCGCAGCCAGAGAGCTCATTCACCACCTGGGTGAGTTCAGTTCTTTCTGTGTGTGGATATTGGCCCACCTGCAGATACTTTGCCTGCTTTTGCCACAATCTGCCAGAAGCAATTTTGCTTCTTATCAGCAGGACAGCCCTCCTGTTGGGCCCCTAATCTTCAAGCAGCAGCAATTTTCTTTTAGGTGTTTTTGGTGTTGTTCATGATATGGTACCTCTGCAAGTTATGGCAGTCACAAATGCATACAGGCATGTGTTGGAGCAGAGCATCTTATTCAGAAGAACTGACCTGATGTTTTTCAGAACTCAAATGCTTTGATGTATGTTTATTCTTTTAGGTTTGCTTGGGAAATAGTAATATAGGAGGATAACGAGAAAAACTAAGTGTTCAAAGTCTGATTCTTCCTTACATCCCTGATGCAAGGTGCCTGAGGTGCTCTCAGGCAGGGGGGAATTCAAGTGATTTCAGGTGGGTTCTTTCACTCAGTCTGACAGCATGGAACATATGGCAACCGCACGCAGGGCAGCTTTAGTGAAAACCAGCTTGCAGCATGTGGAGGTTTGCCTAAAGAAGTTGCAGGAAGCACCTCTTTCTTACTGTTTGCATGTCTGTGCTCCCACAGAGGCTGTGTGCTCTGGGTGCGGAGGGCACTCGAGTAGCTTTTGGGTACCTGATGAGCAGGTCAGAAAGGCCAGCTTGGAAGCGGCCCTGATGCGCAGTTTGGCTGTTTGTGAAGATGCAGCTTCCAGTCCTATCTTAAAGAGTAGTTATGTCTGGGAGAGGTGAGGTTGTGACACATCGATCCCTACTGAATTTGCACCAGCTTTACAGTTAAGTGCAAAAAAACCCACAAACTTTTGGGGTTTGGTTAAAGCGTCTGCACAGCTTTGGTTTCATCCTGAGGCAACCACGCATCTGGCTAAGCAGAATTTTCTAACGCATCTGTCCTCTTGTCTGTGCAAAAATCAATCTTCAGATGCTATCAGGCAGTGTGAGAAGTCCCAGCTCTGTTGGTCTCATTCTTTTGAAAGCTGATCTTCTGGAAATGAAGCCTTCCAGTGAAAGGGCCTCCACCGGATGGTTACAATAAACTGCTTTATTAATTGGCGTCACCTCATGGCTGGCTGTGTGGCAGCCTGCTGGATTATGTGTCCACAGAGAAATCCCATCACTACTTCGTATTTTATGTTGGCACTCCAGTGTTTCCCCTGGATTCAGTTACTTTCCAACACTTTTTCTTTCTGTGCTGCAGCAATTGAATCATATTTTGGGTTGCAGTGGTCTCTTCTTCAAACTCTTTTTCTCTCCTCATTGCATTGTTTGCTTTGCGATATAGGCTGCTGGTCTTTGATTTTGAAGTGTTTGTTTTTATGTTTGATGCTCTTTATGGAGCGTGTTTGTGAAATTAGTGTTATTCTTATTGCGTGTGTTAGATTACGATCACCAAAACAGCGCGGTGGGATGCACTCAGCAGCGCGTGCTGCGTCAGGTTTGGGGTTTTCTTGTGTTTCTTTGTGTTCAAGCAACGTTTGGACGTTGTAGGAAGGTTTAGCGGGGAAACGCTGGTGGTGGGCGGTGATGTTGGAGGTCTTCCCCAGCCTCGCTTCTCATTTGTTTGGGTGACTTACTACTCCAGCTCGCTCTGCCCGCGTTCTATTTTTACCGCAGCTCGTATTTGTTGTTGCGTAATAAAAGCGAGCGCGCGTTACCCAATGCAAACCACGCTTAAAAGAAAAAAAAAAAAAGCAACAAAAAACCCACGAGCAAAGCGCAGCGCTTCCCTCCGAGCTCTCGGCTCCCGCCGGCGGGCAGGGCTGGAGTTCCCACCGACCGTGCGGGGACCGCGAGGCGGGCGGAGGGACGCGGTGCCGCCTGCCGTCGCCCTCCGGCTCCCCGGGGCGCTCCGCGGCGCGCAGCCCGGCCGTGCCCGCAGCAGAACAGCAGCCGGGGAGCGGAGCGGGGCCGGAGCTCGGTGGGACGCGGCGGCTCCTGGGAGCTGTAGTCCGGGCCCCGCCGCCGCCTCCCGCCCGGCCCGGCCCGGCACTACGGGCCCCACACGGCCCCGCGGCCGGCGCATGAGCCGTCGGCCGCCTTAGCGCATCTATTCTGCTGCCTTGCCGAGGATAAAAAGAAGAGCAACTGGAGGGACTGTAAGGCAAACGTTGCTGGAGCTGCCGGGGCAAAGTAATCTATTTAATCTTTCCCTTTATTTGTTAGATGCTCGGGGGTGCGTCGCTAGCATTGGGCCACGGCTTCGGGAGGGAGGGGGGCCGGGAAAGAAGGGAGGGGAGGCAAAACCCACTTGGGAAAGGCCGACGCTGATTTTCTTCTTCTTTTTCCTCCCCTTCCCTCTTCTTCCGCTCCTCCACGGTGCGGAGCCCCGCGCCGCTCCCCGCAGCCTTTGTGCGCCGCGACAAAGCAACAAAGCGCGGCCGGGCACAGCCTGCCCATTGATTTCCTCCCGGCCCCGCCGCTCCTGCCCACCCTTTTCTTCTTCTTCTGCCGCTTCTTCTCCTTCTGCTCCCCCTGTCGCCTCGCCCAGCCCGAAGCCGCCCGGCCGGGTGCGCACCCGTTCCCGGCCCCACCGAGCCCCGCGCAGAGGAAATTTCTTTCTTTCTTTCTTTCCCCTCCTTTTTTTTTTTTTTTTTTCCCTCCTTCTTCCCCCTCTCTCGCTCGCTTTCCCTCTCTCTCGCTCTCTCTGCCCGCCATCTTTTGAAAGAGGAAAAAAAAAAAATTAGGAGCGGGGGAAAATAAGGGACTGTAGGCGCTCTTAGAAAATAAGAAAGGGGGGAAAAAAAAGGGGGGGGAAGCAGAGACGAGAAGAAAAGAGAGAAAGGGGGGGAAAGCAACACGGGTGGGGAACAGGCGCTGGGGCTCGGGGCGGCCGGGCGGAGCGGCTTTGGGGCTCAGCCCGCAGCTCCCGGCCATTTCCCGGCGCCCCGGAGCCGCTCGGTGCGGGGTTCGGCCGGCGGCGATCCGCGGGACTCGGGCTGCACGCGGGGAGCGAGGGTTTGTTGCTTCAACTTCGCGTGTTTCCGCGGTGTGCGCGGCGACGTGGCTCGCGGGTTGGAATAAAATGCAAAACTTCAAACCGGCCGTGCTTTTTTTCCTTTTTTTTTTTTTTTTTTTTTTTTTTTTTTTGCTACTCGTTAGCTTTTGCACCTCTCTGGGCGCCACTGATAGAGCGTTGTTTGTAGGCTGCTTGGTTTCACTTTCAGACAAAGCTGCAGTGTTCAGGTCGCGGATCTCCGAGCGACTCTAAGCTGTGAGGCTGAACCCTGCAGGGTCCCTCCGAGTGCCAGCAGGCGCTGGGTGCGCTGGGATAGCTTTGGGTGTCTGCAGAAAGCAGAAGTTGCTGAAATAAACTTATTTTTCGGATAAGCAAACAGATGGGCTTCACTGATACTTGCGATGTGTATAAATGCTGTGTGTAAGTTGCTCGACGTTGGTAAACAGTAGGTTGGGGGGGTAATGCAAATAGCAGAGCAATAGCAGAGCACACCTGCTGTTGCTTGCTGGGAATAGAGGTGTGTTTTTGTAGGCTTGTTAGTGCTTTGAATGTGTTCAGTGTGTGTGTGTGTGTATGCTAAGGGGTATCTCTAAACCGGGGATTTGGGATTGACACCGAAACCTTGTCCCCCATTTGCTCAAGTGGAGGTGTTAGAGAGGACCCTGACTGCTGTATGTGCTGCACAGTGAGAAGCGTGGGGTGGACGAGAAATCCCTGCTGCAGTCTGCTTGCACTACAAGCACCAACCCACGATCTGTATTGCTTGCAGCTCCCAGCAGCTCGGGAGTGCTGTATGCAGAGTGCTGCCTGCTGCTGTTTTGTTAGCTGAAGTTTAGGGAGTTCTTCTGAAACAGTGTAACTTCTGGCCCTCCCGGCTTTCCTTTTTCTGAAGGAAAAATGCTAAGTTTGTATTTTCTTTCCCTTTACTCCTTGCTGGTTAAAAATACACACTAGTGCTTCGAGACCATGCTTAGTATAACAGTTGAATGGAGGTTAATGGTGTTATTCAACATTCAGCATCAGCTTGATTGCAATATTGTCTTCTAAACTCTATTTGCACAGCACTGGGTGCTCAAGCTATCCCACTGAAGGATTGTTGCAGTGACCTATGCCTGCAGAGTTTAAGAGTGCACCTACAAATAGAATGTGTGTGAAATAGCTGAGGTTTGTTCTCCAAACTGACTTTGGTGTCTCGGCTGCATTAATCATAAATAAAAACTTTAGCACTTTCAGCAAATGCTGGTTTGGTTGGTGTCTGCAAGTGCAGTGCGTTTCAGTGGGCTTCATAACTGGACTTTCCTTGGGTTGCTGTAATTACATCGGGAGCAATGACTTCAATCACAATTAATAATCTAGCCAAATACTGCCTTCCTGAGCTAGGATCTGCTTGTGATGTCACCCCTCAGCCCCCTAATGCCAGTGGGAGCAGTACTGAGGGGTCTGCAGCCCCACTCCTGGCCTGCCTGCCCTGCAGCTCCGGGGCTGTGCTTCCCAGAGCCCTGCTCCTTCCCCCCGGAGTAATCTGGGAGCTCACTGACAGCACAAACAACTCCAAGTCAAATCCCTCTCCCCAGCAGCAGCTGAGTGATGTAGTGGGGGCTCATGTTTCAAAGGCTTAATTACTTTGGCAAAATATATTACTCTGTCGACTTTGGTAAGCTATCAGGTGATTTCAGTATAGACAGAGCTGCACTTACCTAAACAAAGAGCATTTTGGCTCTCAGCACTGCTGTTTGTTTCTCTTTAATCCCAGTTGCTCTTTCTCTTGCTAATTTACAAAATTCATTAATCTGCAGTGAGTTTCCCAATCATTACCATGAACTGCATGTTTTGTTGTGTTGGTTTTGTTGGTTGTTGGTTTTTTTTTCTTTTCTTTTTTAAATTACCACATTATTCTCCAGTAATAGCCCAGAACACCACTGCAAGCAATAGAGTTCTGGGAATTAGGAAGGAGCCATTGTTTGCTGTGCTGCTCAGTGAGCTGTCAGGACATTTTGGAAGGATGTGTGCATCTCAAGCTTTTCATTCCACAGTGTCTTACTGTGATGTTGCCGGGTTTTTGTCAGTCATTAGTGCTTGTCAGAGATGAGCAACTTTCTTTGGGGCACACTAACACTGCATTGAAAGGGAGGAAGTACTCTTTAACCCGCTTGCTGCTAAAGCCAACGCGAAAAGGAAAGGATTTAAATTCTTTTGGAGAACAGTATGGAAATTCACTGTAATGTGCTGCTAAGGCTGCTTTTCTCTCAGCTCTTGTTCCTTCCCCCAGTCTTGCTGATAAGGCACCAAGTGAAGAAACACTCGCTTTTTTTGGATTCCTTTCACACCTTGCTGGGCCTCATTCTCTTTCTAGCCTGAGTCTGATAAGAAGACATCATCCTGGCTGGATGTATTTCAGCAACGCGGATAACCTGGGCAGAAAGGAAGGTTTGTGAACCTGAATCCTTTGCTGAGACCAGGACTTGGCATTTTCCCCTCCACCAGCATTACAACAGGTGGAACAAAGCAAAAGAGGTGAAAGTTCTATGAAATGGGAACCAACCTGGAACAGCATGAACTGACTGAAATGATTCCTGGGTTTATCTATCTTCAAACGTTGAGATTTAGATTCAGTCCTAGCTGATGCAGGTCTGGTGTGGAAATAACCTTGTTTGCTCGTCTTTCCTTCAAATCTGTTTTTTTTCCCCATCTCAAGGAAGAAGAGGCAGAGACACATCGCAGTTTTCCTTCCTAGCTTTGAGAGCTCGTTCTGCTTTTGAAGTTTAAACTCGCAGCACTTCACTGATGCAGCTGCACTGATAAGCCTTGCAGAGTGCTCCCTGACACCATCACACCAGCAAGGATGCACTCTGTGTGACTGACTCGACCTGTTGTAACCAAACCCCAGCAGTGCTGGAACAAAGGCACGCTTTTCCTTGTGTAACTTTGTCTTTTTATGCTATCCTTGTATAACACCATGGGAGGTGCCTGGAGGGAATCACACTTCCTCACAACTCTCCAATGTCACCATGCCAAGAGAAAAATCTGTTTTCTAGAACTGCACTGGCCAACAGATGTCAATAAGCAAGTGGGAAGCTTGCAGTATAGTGCTGGTTTGCTGATAGCAGACTTGGAATGCAGACATCTTCCTTACCAAGGCTGGTTTGGGGGCCCTGCTGTACAGAGGGCAGTATGGAAACTGACCTGCTGAAAATGCATTTGTTTTATTCAACAGGCAGAAGAGTTGTTTGTGGGTATAAGAGAGAAAGCTCTTTCTTACTGGAAAGCCTTGCCTTTTGGTGTTTGCAGTTCTGCTTCCGATCTGTGAAACGGCTGCAAAGTGCAGCTCTTCAAGTTGCTGTGTGAAAGAGGGTCTGCTCCCCCAGGTTTTTGCTGGTGTGCTTGTCTGAATTGTAGTAGAGATGAGCAAGTGTGCCAAGAGCACAGCTCCCTGAGTGGTCAGTGGAGAGAGCTGTGTTCCTTTCCCCATTGAGCAGAGTGGGAGCATCCTTCTGCCTGGGGCTGGCAGGCAGGGGGGCACCTTCCTGTTCCTGGTTAGCTGCATAGATCCCTGCATAGGCAGGGATAATAGAATTCAGAATACATTTTCCCCCCCTTTTTTGCTGACTGCTTGGGAGTTTAAATGAGATGCATAAATGCAGGCAGTTGGAACTGCCTTATGTCCTTTTGAGGAGTGACAGCAGCTTAGCTAGCACAGTTGATCGCACCCGAGCTGACCTGCAGCTTCCTTGCATAGTTGGGCAAATTTACAATCTATCCAACCTTAGCAAAAGCAGTGAGGCACCTTTCACGTGCAATAGACCACCTGTACTCTTTTGCACTTGTTTGCATGTATTTCCTTTGAGTTAATACTGCCTTATCCTGGGACAATGTGTTTGTTAGGACGAGGTGCTTAAATCAGTATGGAAACAGATAAAGCTAAGTCAGTGCAACCTGTCTAGGGGAACGTTGGTAGGGATGAACAGTGGTCATAAATAGGAGGGCTGCAGCAGTGTGATACATTACTGCTCATCTGTCAACCTGCAGTAATTAACTTGGTGGGTGGGTGTACTTGCTCTGCCCCATTACCAAGTGTAACATTACTGTGGCTCAGCTAACAAGTAGTAATTTTATGTCATAGTAATTCCATCCCTTTCACTTCGTTGTCCATTCCCTCAAAGCCACTTGAGTGTCATATGCTGCTTTAGATAGACCTCATCTGCTTGGGAAAGTTGTGGTACACAACTCAGAGCACATTTGAAACCAGCAGCAGCTGATCTGTGCTTACTCCACTTTCAATGTTTTACATCCTAAAACAAACCTGCTCTAAATATAGTATAAAAATGAGTTTTAAAAAATGAATAGAAGGCTGCAATGATGTATAGTATGTACACAGAGAGGTCTGCTGATGAAAGAAGGTATTTTTCTCTAGTGAATCTCTTAGATAGTTATGCTGTGTACTGTGAAATGCTTGTAATGAGTTAGTGTACCAATCTGTGTCTGTTTGTTGAAGTCTGTCTTCTCTGACAGTGTTGGCTTGGAGGTACCCCTGAGGATAACATCTGTAACACTTGTAAGTGGTGTTGGTGATGCTGGTGTGTTGTCATGCAGCATTAGGAACTGATGTTCTATGGGCTGTATAAAGAGACTAATGGCTTTGTTAGTGAATGATAGGGGAAGTATTTGTATCCTAATTTTGCATGTGGGGAACTGAAAAACCCACAGAATGGGGAGTCAAGGACTGAGCATGAATATCAACATCCTGATTTCTAGCTTCTTTTTTGTAATTGTTTGCAGGTATGGCAGAAACTCTGAGATGCTCTGCCGAGGGGGAAGGATTCACTCTCGCTTTTTTTCCCCCCTTTAAGATGTTTTGTGTCCAATAATCTGTCTTTGGAAATGGAAAGAGCAGAAAAAAGCAATCGTGACACAGCCTGTTGTGGAAAGGTTTTGTATATTCGATTCACAGTATGCTGAGTCAAACTGAACAAATAAGTTTTTGCTTTCATACCCAAGGTACGCAGTGCTGGTTAAAAAGGGGGCAAGGGCAGAGTCCTTCTCAGAACACAACTGCTTAACTGCAGATCTCATCCTCTAAAAAGCGGAAAAAGAGGATCCTGCGTGAGTGTGCACACACTGTAATCCTGTTAAGAGTTCTGAAGCCTTTGTGGGTGTTGCCATGTTAAGCTTTAATGGGCGTACATCTGTTTCTATTATGTCTGTATCATTTGAAGCTTGGATTGGTGACAGAGTGTTGTTATTTTTTAAGTAATACGGCTGGAAAAATGGTTCACTAACCTGAAATTGGCACGGCTTACTTCTGGAGTCACAGGATGAATCTGCAGTAGTCTCATCCATAGGCTAAATCACTCTTTGGAGAAGTTTGGCTGTAGGGTAATGGATGAGCAGGAGGAGTTAGGAGATGGAACTTTGAAGGGAATGGATGTGGTGCAGATGGGGAAGGAGGCTGATGCTGACCTGCACCGTGATTCTTTTCCCTTTGACCACTGTGTCCTGCCAATTTGTGACACTTGAGAGGCAGTTGGGAGTACTGGTGTGAAGGGCTGTTAGTAGTGGGTGACTGCAGTTCAAACCCAAGCGAGCAAGTGGATTTGTAGTTCTGATTGATTCAATTAAATGCAAAAGCAAACATGAATAGAGGTAGAACAGTAGATTCTGTCCATCTGTGAAGTTTAAAGTGGTAATACATATCTGGAACATCAAGAGAAGGATGCAGCAAACAGCTTTTGTGCTGGTTCTGAATTTGCAGGATTGTCCAGTGCTTAGAAGTTGTGACCAAGTCTGCAGTCTTCTGACTACATCAGCAGTGTTTCTGAACTCGGTATTTGTGTGAACATGGAGATTCCTTCCTTCCCTTGACTGGGATCCTGCTTCTTAGGGTGGTGTGTTAGGAATTACGATGAGAGACACCAAACATTGTACACCTTATGTTTGTACAGTGGGAATTGTTCTGCTGCTGTCCTGTAATGAAGATATATCTTCAGGTCTGGTCAGTGTTGTCTAGATTAGCTGTCTACCCTGACAGTGGGAGTGCCCACCAATATATCTCCTTCTGAACAGACTTGCCAACTCCAGATAGTGCTTAGCCTTCTCTGTCATTGCATCTCTTCCTAACAGACAGCTCAAGGGAGAGGGACCCAAAACTGTGCATAGCCTGAGTTTGTGTCTTTGCCCAAACCTTCCTTAGCAGTTTATTTTGATGGGCCAATTAGTTATCTCTTCTAGGTGATAAATCTGCAAAACCCATCTGCAGGGTGGTGTGGAACCACAGAAACCATGCGGCTTAGTAAGGGGGAGATTTGCTTAGTGCTGTGCAGGGTGAGACTTGAAGCGGTTACTGAATCCACGGAGATGCTGAGATGTTTGCTGTCTGTGTTGTTGTTTATACCATGCTTCCAGTGTGCTTTCAGCCTCCCCCGGGACCCTCTCCATCCTGCTGCTAATGTGCTGGGAGCTTGCATGGTATGTGGCTGTGCGCCAGCACTTGGTTTTTGCCTGGTGTCCAAGGCTGCAGGACTTGTAGTGCACATAGGCTTTTGGAGGACTGCAGTAACCCCTACAAACCCCTACAACGTATTTGCAACTGCGGTTTGCTTGTTTTCAGGTATTTCCCTGCAGAGTGAGATCTCAAACTGGGTGAAATCCCCTGCTCGGATGCCCAGTACTGAGTAAACTCTTTAAACTGTCTGACACTTTGTCTCCCACTGTAGCCTTGTTAGCAAAACTGCATGACTCCACATCTGCGAAACTGACCTATGGCTGAATTGAAATTCGTCTCCGTGTTTTTGGGGAACCCCAAAAGATAGCGGAAGAAATGTCCAAAGGTCATGCTGTCCTTACCTGCTCCAAAGCAAGATGAACCACACCTAATCCATTGCAGAAGCAGGTTGTTTAAGCTCTTTTCAAAAGCAAATTCAGAGCTATGAGAAGAAACTTGTTATACTGTGAAACACCACTCTGCAGTTGAAACTGCAGCCTTTAGAAGGCAGCTGAGCCCTACTGGTGTGTGTTGAAGGTATGTGACATGCATCTAATTCTTCCTCAGACTCAATTAGAAGGTGCTTTCTGTGTCATTAGCAGCTTAGTGGAGAGAAATGCTTCAGCCTGTAATTACCAGAAGGGCCATCATTTTATTTGGGGTATCCAGCAAAGTGCTTGTAGACCACAGTAGGTTCTCAGTCAGGGTAAAGGAACTCTTGGGTTTCCCTGATTTTCAGGCGTGATGTAAGCCATCTTAAAGCAACCTTATTTGTGGGGTGTGCTGAGCGTGTATTGGAGCTGAAAGCCCTTGGAACTGCCAGTTACACCTCTGGCTAACTGTTATCTACTGGTTAGGAATGGACAGGCTCCTGGCTGAGGGAGCACCTGCTTTTATAACAGCCAAGGAGAGACCAAGGGTGGGAAATCGGTCTGTATAATCTGATGAGCATTAATTAACTAAGCCAAAAACTAAGGAACTGAATTAATCTGCTGCTCTTTCTCCCTCCCTCGTACAGAGGTAAGTTAAGCGTGCAGTTCCATCTCAGTCTCAGGATTTTACTGGGGCTGTGCTCAAAATGGTATACAAAAAAAACCCCCTGATCTTTGATATGTGGAGTTATCAATATAGGAGATAACAGGGACAGCTGGGTAGCTGCAGTATGCTATAGGAGCACTCAAGCCAAATTCCCATTTCCTGCATTGAGGCCAGGTGCAAATGCTTCATCCCCAGTCCTGAGGGGGTGGCACGCTGTGTGCAGCAAGCATGTGTCTGCCAAGGAAGCGCTGGCTGATAAAGCAGCTTGTCTGCCCTCAAGTCTTGGTCTCGGATTGCAGCTCCCTTTGCTTTCAAAGAGAACATCCCTGCTGACATGGAGTTAGTAGGCAGTGAAAGCTGCCTGAAGCTCGATTCCTAGACAGGGGCTGTGAAGGAAAGCAGAGTGGGAGGAAGAAGAGGGCATGCGCCAGCTCTGTTTTCTTTTGGGCAGCCTGAAGGAGTGGTGGTGTATTGCTGCTTTCTAAAGCCATAGGCATGAAATGGCTGCGGATGACTCCACAGTCTGATCTGTTTTGACAGGTAGACTTTTGGGGCCATACAGTTTATGTACTACAATGAGTGGTGATATAATTGTCTTCAAAACCAATGAAAATCCGTCCTGGGACTACAAAGCTGCCTGGATCTGAAACTTGGTTGCTCTAGGGACTCTTTGGACTGTGTAGTAATAGTAAGGCTTGGAGTCGACCCGGTGAGCCCCTATACCTGCATTTCCTTTCTTGAGATCATTTATTTTAAAGATAGTGGAATTTACTACCTTTAAATAGGAAAAAGACTTCTGGGTAGGAACATGATTGCCACCAGTTCCCAGTTTTTGGATGGTGTTTCATTTACCCTCGTGTGATTTCTGGGCTCTCAAGTAAACCAAATTCACATGCTGCCTCTTCTAAACTTTGTCTGGCTGCTGTTAAAATTTAATGCTCTGTACTTTCAGTTCTCTGCCATCCAACATCTCCCTGCTAAAGCGGCTCATGCACTGAGTAATGTATATGTAATCACAGTGGCAGCAAGAAAAGGAATCTTTTCAATTAGGCAACTCAGGAAAGGCCGGAAAGGCAGTTCTGCTCACTGCCTGTTACATGTTTTATTACCAAATACCTGTGTATGTGTCTGTCTTGGAACTTGTGTTTGTGGGAATCTGATCTGCTGGCAATCTTTCCCAGAACACTAATTTCTAATTTCTGCACCTCAGAAGTAGTAGGAGTGTGCTAAAGCTCTCCCACGGCTGGAAGAAAGCCTGGGCAACAACGAGCATGTGCCTGCTGCTTCTCTGAGATAGAGGATAGCATATGGTAGCAAATCTGACCAACTTTTCAGCTATTGCTGCTGCCTGGGGAAAGGGAGCAAGCATCTGCTCTGGTTGCTGCACAGAGCCTGGGTGGGGAGCGATGCTTGGAGCTGCAGAGAGCAGTGCCTGCTCCCACTGCCGGCTGCTTGATCGTGATCCTGCCTCCCTCCTGCCTGCAGAAAGCCTCTACTTCTGCCTTCCACACTGATGATGTTTCTCTGAGCGGCTGCAACCTGTGCTTTGGGGCTCTGCTGCAGCCCTCATCGCTGCAGAGTGCAGGGAGCAGCAGCTCCTCGAGGTAGGAGCAGGGTCTCACTGCGTGTCTGCAGGGTGCTGAGGGCCCTGATCTGCACGGCCTCTGTGCCACCAAAATGTAAATAGTGACGTGTAGATAAAGATGAGGTCAAGGAACATCTCTTCAACTTGATAATTTTCCCTGGTGGGGAGATTTGTCACTGCTTCTGGCTGGGCTGGAATCACTCCAGGTTTTGGTCAGTGTCCAAGTAACTGTGCAGAAACATTATATGACATAAAGAGTTGTCAGGCTCGCACGATAACACAAAGCTCGCTACCTTCTAATTTTGCAATCAAAACAAATAGTCCCCTGTGCTGCAGGAACAGCAGTGAGGGAATGAGCCATCCATTAAATGTTCTGCATTGCCAAAGGAAGTGGCAGAACCGTTAGCTGAAGCAGCAGGCTTACTGGCACAACGTGCATTTCATGGGGCTTTATGGCTTCTTTTAAAATAGTCTCCACCACTGCAGACAGCCCGTGGGCTGCATCAGCTGAGCAAAACGTTATCCTACTAGGACAGGGAATTATTGTTGTGTTTGGTGTTTTTTTTTTCGTGCCAGCTGTCTCTGCACTGACTGACCAATGCAAGCAACTCAACGAAATAAACGTTTAAAAACAAACAGAAAACCAACCTTCCAACCTAGCTGTGTTTTCTGATGACTGGTTTGGCTGAAGGACAAGCTAAACCTGGCAGCTTTGGGATTGCAGCTTAGCAGAAAAGGACAGGCTTGTGAACTCCAGAGAAGCAGTGTTTGTTGGAGGGTTTGAGTTTAGCTTTTAATTATCATCTCTAACTCAGGTGGATAGGAATAAGGGGAAATACACAATGTTGAAGCAGTGTATGCTCTTCTATTTGTGATAGCAAGAGGTTGTACTTCAAATCTGTAATATTAAAGGTGTAGTTGTGCAGCCAGAAAAGTCAGGGACAGCTTCTGTCACGTGAACACTAAAGGTTTGTAGAACGGGGTAAGTTAATTTAACTTAATTTAAACTTCAGTTATTACTCCAGGGCTAAAAAGCCCAACCTTAGACCCTCACTGGAAGATGGCTGTGCAGAGAGTGGTTTTGGCAGTCCTCTTTCCAGGTCTGTGCAGTGCTTTGTGCGCTGCTGCATTGGTTCCTAGCTGTGCTCTCTTGGAGTTTAAATCACTACTGATGCTAACGCAGAGTATAAAGATGCTGGAGTGCTTAGACCAGAGCTGTTTGTTTTCAATTTTACCTGTAATGGTAGAAAATTCATTTATTTCCTTATATTTTTTTTAATGAGTGAGTCTGTTTGAAGTGGATGATTTGAATGAGAAGATGGGCAGGTCGTGCCTTTCCTCATTTAATAACTGAGACCTGACAGCTAGGAGATGTCTCGTGGAAAGCCATTGCCTATCTGAATTCATTGTCATGCACTCTGTTAGGAAGTGGGATATTTCCAAAGCATTTGCACTTCAGATTTCTCCTAATCGTGCTTTTTTTTTTTGCTTCTTTAAGTGCTATATTGAAACTAAAAAGGAATCTGACATCAGGGCAGCTTCCCCTGCAAACAATGAGGAATCTGATGGAGCGAGGGTTAAAAGGGTGCCTGCAGCTGCTGGGCACCCAGAGAAGCAGTCCCTGTGTCACAGAGCTGCCAGGTTCCAGAGTGCTCTCCTGGTTACAGAGCTGTTGGGTACCTGAGTGCAGGTAGCTCTGCTGCTTGGACAAGCCTGGAAAGATGGGCACCTCAATATCCCTCTCTGTTGCAGGTCTATTTGTTTGCACACATCTATTTTTGTAAGATTCCCCTAAATTAGGTACCTGTTTACTCCTTGCTGTCATCTAATCAGTGACTCAAAGGGTAAGGTGGTGTTCTATATTTAGCCCAGATATTTAGCAGAGATGATTAGGATTCTATTAAGGAAGAGTTATTTTTCTAGGATGTCTTAGCGTGTTCTCCTTCCTTCTGTATCACTGCAGTTCCCATCTCAGTTCACATCTCTGTGAGAAAGAAGCATATGTCAGTGAGAGTATATCTGTGGTTTTCTGAGCATATTTCACATAATTTGCCTCTAGAAAGTGGCTGTGGTCTGTTTGCCAGAAGAAGGGTAGCTGCAGTTCTGATGTGAATTGAAATATCGAATGTTTATGGAAGATGACACAGCAGAGCTGTTTACCATATGCTATACAAGAGGCAGTGATACTAGACCGACCGTTTGTTTTTCCCTTGGAGTTTGCTAGGGAAAAATAGAACAACGTAATGCAATATGTTTATTCTTCCATTTTTCATACGTCTCCTTGAGTGCTCATGACTCTGGTCTTTTAGCCAAGCCATGGGGAGCAGTGTAAGTATAACACTAATGATTTACACTGAGCCTATATCTTGAGATTTCCATATAAAACTGGGGCCCAGGCAAGGGGCTGCAGTAAAAGGCGTAGTTAAGACATTTGCTGTTCAGCTTGCAGATAGCTTCCAGTTAGGATGTTTCTGGTGACTCCTTTCATTTGCAGCTGATCCTAGCACTCTTTGCAGGCCCATTCTCTTCTCTTGCAGGGGATCCTCTGACAGCTGTAGCTGCCAGCTCTTGATTCTGAGATGTCAGACTCGCCTTTGCACCAGCATGGGGATGTGCAAGCAGGCTCAGTGCCAGCAGCACGGGTCTAGAGGCAGCATGGCTGTGTTTACCCAGAGCTGCCTGCTATGGATTTACTAGCTTGAGTCAGCACATTTGTGGGAGTGTCTGCATTATATCCCAGCTGTGTTCTTATGCTACCCTGTGTTCCTGCACAAAGATGCCCTCTGAGCTAGGTAAAGCTCACTGACTTTGTGCAGGCTTTGAATTTGGGAATTGCTGTTCCCGCTCTCTCTCGTGTCTTGAGCTATGTTTGTCATCAAGGTAACAAAGTTTGTTATGGAAAATGAGGCAGGTAGGGTAAATGGCCTGAGTTGAGGCATTTCTACTACTGGTAGTGTTTGGATATGCCTACTTCAAATGAATATCAACACTTAAATGTTGTCCTCTTCCCCTCATTTGCTTTAGGTTGCATGGTTGGACCCTGGAAATGGGATGTCAGTCCCATTCAGGGAGCATAAAGGAAGAAGGAGGATCTCCCAGTTGCTGCTGCTGTGACAGCGAGTGAGAGCACGAGCAGGAAGATGTCGACAGTCACTTCAGCAATTCAGGCTCCTCAGGGCCCTGTGAATCCACCACCTCCAGAGGTCACTAATCCTAATAAGCCTGGCCGGAAGACCAACCAATTGCAGTATATGCAAAATGTTGTTGTAAAGACCTTATGGAAACATCAGTTTGCTTGGCCTTTCTACCAACCTGTTGACGCAATTAAATTGAATTTACCGGTACGTATCTGTCACGTTCTCTGTATTGTGTTCTTGGAAAGCTGGGCGTTAATTAGATCGGTTTTCTGATCATTGGTTCAGGTTGCTTTTGGTGATTACCTTGAATATTCTCAGACTCACTCAACTTAAAGATTGCTTTTCAGAGCTGGAGAGGTACAGGTGTCTGAAGGAGAAAATCACTCCTTCACTTAGTAGAGGAGGAGAACAATGCACAGGCAAGCTGCCTTAGAGTAACTGAAGCATAGTGCTTCATCTGTGCCTTACCTGCACTTACATCTTCTCACACCTTGTCCCACTTCTGTCCAATCTGAGTGACAGACTGGAAACCTGTGCTCTGTGGTGCATTTGACTGGACTCATTGTCATTGGTGCTTCCTCTGGACTTTCCTCAGTTTGCTGGTGACTTCGGTGTTGAGCGAGATGCTTTGGAGCAAAATAGTTTCAAATGCTGTACTGGAGGCACAAATAACAGACCAGTTGCATTTATCTATTTGCCTCCTGGGCTTAATTATGTATATCCTGTCTGTGTCAGACCAGAGAGTACAAGACAGCCGGGTTATTCATGAGTGAACAAAGTTTTCTGATAAGCTTTCTTCCAGTGAACAGAACCACCTTAACATTTACTTGTTCAAAGTGGTCCTGTGGATGTAAATATCCCAGCAGTGGAGGCAAGCCCCTACCCACCTGTCATATTAAACACAGTGCCCCCCATCTGCCCTGCTGTCCATCCCTCCAGGCGGGCCACTGCAAATCTATTCTGACTGCTTTGAACAGGAGGATTGCATGTAGGATTGAAGGAGCGAGGCTCTGGGATGTGAGATGTGCAGAGCTTTAGTTACCTCAGGTTATGACCTAATTTTATGGACTGGGTCAGGAGTCTTCTGAACTCGGTAATCTTGTTGATGGGTGCTATTTAAAGTGCGAGGCAAAAGAGTGAAACACTTAACACGTGCATAAGATTCCACTCAGTCTTTGCTCTTTTGTGTCATCTTTCTGTGGATTTTGTTTCTCAGCGAAGCGTTTTGAAGTGGTTTTAGGGCAGGTTACCAGAGAATTTGAAGGAGGAGTCAGTTGGAAGAATAATTATTTTTCACATGTGGTCTAAATCAGATCTGCACGAGTTCAGGAATCAGCAGGATTGCCTTTTCTGTCCTGGAAAAAAAAAAAAGTGGTTTCTCAGGTTGCGCCTGAGAGTGGCCAGGGGCTGCGTGTGGCTTTGTGCTCACATGCAGTGAGAGGCACTGCTGCCTCACTTCGGAATGAGAAAATTACAGCATGTAACCTCGCGTGCCTTGAGTGTCTCCAGACTAATCACAGCCTCTACAAATGCTTGAGTCCAGCCCAGAGAGAAATTAGGTTAACGCATGGAATCCTTTGGAGACCATTTCAAGAGAGTCGCTGGAAATCGTAGTGCAGTCTTGGCCAGCGCTGCCACTGATAAACTTCTGTAAGTGCTGAGTGTCTAAAGACAGTCTTACAGTAAGGCAGGCAGAAATGCTGCTTCCCAAATTGCTGCCAGACCTCAGTTCAACTGAACAGCCAGCCAAAGTTGGTGCTATCCCTGTTACCCCGGCTTCTGGTCTGATGTGAGAGTGAATCGCATCACTGCAGTGTTAGCTGGCTGTGAAGTGTGCCAGCCTTCATCATCTGGAGCACCATCCACAGCCTCACTAAGGGGTACTGAGGCTGCAAACAGCTTAAGGGAGACCTGCTCAGAAAGCGTGTTTTCTTCCACATACTGCTGTTACTGCCTTCCCTGTCCAGCTGTCCTTATACAAAGCTGGTCATGTCCAAGTAGGCATTTGTACGTGTGCTAGAGTGTGTAGTGGGGGAGCTGGGAAAAGCTGGCTGTTATAGAGGGGGTTCTGATGCTTTGTAATTAAGTTCATAATGATGATAAGCTTTGAATTAGAAAACGGAAGTAAAAATGGTATTTGCAAAAAGAAAAAAATGGGGGTGTGTGTTTTGGAGGGGGTTTGAGGAGAAAGCTGGGAGTGAGATGTGGGTGCACTTCTTTTTCTCATGTCAGGAGATGTAACATCTTTCCTGTTTCTCCAACAGGATTATCACAAAATAATAAAAAACCCCATGGACATGGGGACTATCAAGAAACGCCTGGAACATAACTATTACTGGAGTGCCAGTGAATGTATGCAGGATTTCAACACCATGTTTACAAATTGTTATATTTATAACAAGGTAAAAAGCCTAGACAAGCACCTAGCTGGGGCACTGCCTAGGAAAAAAGCAAGTTGTTACAGCACAAGTTTTAAACAGGGCATCTCCTCTTTGCTGCAGGCCCTCCTTGCAAGGATTCAAGATGCCACCAGTTGGAACTGCATTACTTGACATGCACAGAGCTGTCTTTCTGCCATGTCCTTCTTCCCTTGCAGTAGTTAAAATGGCAAATATGCATATAATTATGAGGCACATTTCTGTTTTGGAGTTGCATAGCAAGTTTTGATTCATTTTCATTTAAGAGCTCTTCAGGATGAGCTGAAGTTTGTGTAATGCTCTGCAGGTGTTTTGTGGGCTGTTAATGCTGTGTTGCACTAGTTGTCTAGCAGTAAGCAGTGTCTCCTGCAGAGAGCAGTTCAGTAAGCTGCTAAACTCTGTCCTGTATCTCATTCATACTTATACATCTTTGAATTGCCTATTAATGTTTTGGATTTGTCTTATTTGCTACTTTGTTAGGTTGTTAAAAGCTGGTATTCTTTGTTGCAATGGCTTGTCATCGTTGACCCATGTTGGAAAGCAAGTTAAAGTAAACAAGTTAATTAGTTTGAACCACAGGCTATATGTTTACACTTTTCTCTAGGACCTGTTGGCAAGCAGGGAGGATGGCTCATCTGTTCCAGTTTTATGCTTCCACACTGATGCTAGTTATCAGGCTTCTGCTGGAAGTCCTGATATTCTCTGGATGAAATGTTTAAAGGCTGTGATTATTACATTCTGGACTAGATTAGAAGAGCAGGAGAGTTGTATGCAAGGAGAGAAAAGAGCTAATCTGTTTATTATCAGGGAATTGGGCGCCATCACTTATTTGAAGGGCAGCATCACTGGGGATTTCAAAGTGTGATCTCGTACCTTCTGATGTGTGGATGACACAGCTCAGGCTTGTCTTCTTCCTGCAGCCCACAGATGACATCGTCCTTATGGCCCAAGCCCTTGAGAAGATATTTCTGCAGAAGGTTGCTCAGATGCCTCAGGAGGAAGTCGAATTATTACCCCCAGTTCCTAAAGGCAAAGGTCGTAAACCATCGGTGGGCTCACAGAGTGCAGGTATTTCCCTGATCTGGTGTCAGTAAATGTTACAAGCCTGTTGCTAAGGCCTGACCCATGTTCCAAGCTGATTTTGCAGATGGTGAGGAGGCTGGGAAAGGAACTGTGCAGTCTAACAGAGCAGTGGAGTGAGAGATGACTAGATAATGTTCACCCAGTGTTTCAGGCCTTGTCTGTCTTACTGCCACTCTGTTTGTCATATAAGTATCTGTGATGTATCCATCTGCACAGCACATCAGTAGGGAAGGGCAGTGCTGTTGCTTTCTGTATGCAAAGAAGAAACCAAGGCACAGAGAGCTGAGGGAGGTAGACGTGTGCAGGTGTGGTGCGTTTTGCTTGCACTGGGCTGGCCTCGAGCTCATGGTAGAAAGACTCAGGTCAAGTAATTGATTCTCCAGTTCTTGTTGGACCCTGCGTAACAGCACCAGGCAAATCTCACTCGTTGTCCTGTGTGCTCTTCCTGTGGCCATGAATTGGGGACCAATTTTGCCAAGCCCCTGACTGCCCGGTACAGCAGCACCACTGTCACTTTGCTCCCCATGTCTTGTCAGCACTTGTAACCGTCGGTAGGTCACAATGTGTTTTCACTTTGTCCTTTGAAAGGAGCACAGCAAGCAGTGGCCGTGTCTTCTGTCTCCCCGCCGGCTCCATTCCAGAGCGTCCCTCCAGCCGTGTCTCAGACGCCTGTCATCGCTGCCACCCCTGTGCCAACCATCACTGCTAATGTCCCACCTGTCGCTGCCCCACCTGCCGCTGCTCCCCCTCCTCCTGCTGCTCCAATAATGCCCGTGGTTCCTCCTACGCCGCCGGTAGTCAAGGTAAACAGAACTTGGCCTCTTCCTCTTCACAAAGCAATATTGCTAAGCAGTGCTTTAATTTCATCCCCTCGTTGCTGGTTGCGTGCAGTATTTCTCTTGGCGTTTGACTCCTTGCTTCTCTGGCCATCGTTGTCCCTTTGGGATGTGCTCAGATGAGTGCTTGCTGTTGGGTTTGAGTGGGTTGGGCAAAGTTTTGCCAGTTTTACCACAGCCCAACTCAGGTGGTGTTGACTATAATTGCTCCAACTCAATTACAAGCTCTTATCTGACCATAGCCTTAGCCAGGGCGGATGCTTCATGAATCAGAAGGCTATTGGAGATTTCTCCTGTTTTGATGTATGTTACCCAAGGCATCTTTTCCCTCCAACTGAATCTCTGATTTTTCCTGGGACTGTTCCTTTAAGATTTGCACACTCCAGCACAGGAGTGTTTCTCTCTGCTGTAAACCAGTTCAAGACAAGCCTGCCACTCCAGCTGGAGGAGATTGGTGTTGCCTGCAGGTTTTGGGTACATTAATTTTGTCTTCCTTACTGAGTAGCCTTCTGGGAGGTGTCAATGGTGTTTTGCTATGTTAATTTATGTGTAAGTGAAAATGTTGCTTTAAATAATTGCAGTTTTCCTAGCAAGCTGTATATTGCTTTAAAAAGAGATAAAAACGTACATTAGATGACATTTTTTTGTTCTCTACAATAAGAATTTAAGTGCAGAAGCATCAGCATTCTTGACTTAAGGTTGCATGGGCCAGTGGAGCCACAGAATTTGTTTTCCTTGTTTCACCCAACAGGCTGGGAATTACTTAAGGATGTTGTAAATCTGATCTCACAGCTGTCCTCCTCAGGAGCCTGTTTCATAATGCAGTGTCTGACCAAATCATTTGCTTCTGAGAATCACTTTAGTTTCAAAATTCAAGGATGAACCCAAAAGCAAAAATATGCAAATATGTACTGCAAAGATAATCCTGCTTGGGATTTACTTAAGACTTGCCTTAGATTTCCTTGGGGACCATTTTATTTTATTTTTTTTTCCTTCCTTTTTTTTTTTTTTTTTTCTTTTTTTGTTTCCTCCAGAATTGCTCCTCCATAGGAGCAAAAGAAAGAACTGACTGGACAGTAACAGCTTGAATTAACGTGGGATGTGTGTTTTATTTGCTCGAAATGAAATCATTACATTCTTAACTCTTGTGCGTAACAAACAATCTGCCTTAGCACATTCACTAAGTAAAAGGGAGTGAAGGCTCATAGGTCTTTGGTGATTAATATGCTTTGGTTCAGAACTTATAGCCTGATCCTGCCACTGGGGACTCAGACATGTGGTTAAGTTACTGACACTTACTAAGTCACCATGCATCAGCTGAGCTGCAGTAATCGACTGGGCGCACTCCTTTCCTTTGGCAAACATGAGGTAAGAGTCCTTAGTTTAAATCTCAGTGAAATGTGTAGAGCTTACGTGTTTTGCATCCTGTTTGGGGTTGGGTTGGAGATGTGCAGATGGCTGGTTACTGTGGCTCAGATGACATGCAGCAGCACATCGTGTCGTCGTCACTGAATTGCGCGTTGAAGCCTCTGGTCACAAGTCCCGTTTATCCCAGTGAAATAATCACGTTTTCTGTCCGAGGACGAGGCAGATCTCAGGAATGAGGATGCACTGTGCTAGGTTTCTCCTAGCTCGGTCTGAGAACCGGGCTCGTTGCTCATCAGCTCTCTCCATTTGCTGTTTCAGAAGAAGGGAGTGAAGCGGAAAGCGGACACGACCACCCCCACCACCTCTGTGATCACTGCCAGCAGGAGCGAGTCCCCCACGCCCCTCTCAGACCCCAAACAGGCCAAAATCATCGCTCGGAGGGAGAGCGGCGGCCGGCCCATCAAACCACCAAAGAAAGACCTTGAGGACGGAGAGGTCCCCCAGCATGCGGGGAAGAAGGGCAAACTGTCTGAGCACCTCAAGTACTGTGACAGCATTCTCAAGGAGATGCTTTCCAAGAAGCATGCGGCCTATGCGTGGCCCTTTTACAAGCCCGTGGATGCAGAAGCCTTGGAATTACATGACTATCACGATATTATCAAACACCCCATGGATCTCAGTACTGTTAAAGTACGTCCACGCTTACCACCTCTCTTGCAGGATATCTCAGCCCTCTGGTTGCAGAGGACTGACTCCTTCTGGTGGGGGAGGGAAGGGACAAGGGTGGAAAATGAAAACCGTTTGGATGTTATCTGGATATTTTTATATTTTGTTTCCATATCCTCTCCTTTTTTTTTTTCCCCATAATCTGGGATGTGTTTTTTCTGCCCTACAAAGCACACTGTGTGGCATCCTCTCCTCTTTGTGAACAGTCCAGCTGTTTACACTTGTGTCATTGGGATTATGTTGCACTCAGAAGAAGAGGTGCTGTATTTCATAGGATTCAATTGATAGTATCCCATTTCCAGAAGCTGCTGCCTGGCTAGTTGTTGGCATGATGTGTGGTCTAGATAGGCTTACACTGAGCAATTCCAGCTGGAACATGAAGATCAACTGGTGCTTAGGTGAGGGGAGGAAATAATGTGACGCTTATGTGGTTCAAGCTTCGCTCTTCAGGACCTTAGCTTAGTGTGGTCCAGTATTCAGTGTGTTTTTCTCAGTAGACTGGGAAGTTTCTCTGAGTCCCTTCTAAATATCTGTGGAGGACAGCTGTGTTACTCTAATTCCCTTCTTGTCCATTGGAATCAGTGTTGGTGGAGATGAAACTTTCTTCTGCATGCAGAAAGTTAAGGTGTGTTTGCTGGCTTTCAGGAGCGTGCCAGGATGAGCTGTGCACCCAGCTTGGCCCCTGTGTGGGATTGTCTCAGAGGCCTGGCTGACTAAAGAGCAGCTGCATTCCTGGTTCCTTATATGTTCCTTGGCAAGCAGTTTGCAGTGCTCTGGTGTGCCATGCCATTTGGCTGTGGTGCTGCAGTGGTTCTTACTGCAGCTACTCTGTTTTAAGGTGGTGAGAGAATAGTCATCACAGCCTGTGCTGAGGGCTAGATAAAGAGTTAGTGGTGTCTGAGTTATTAACTGCCCTGATACCGTGGTCTTTGGCAAGTTTCCCCATGGCTCTGTGCCTTTGTTTTTCCAACCATTACATGGAGAGAATAATGCTTAACCTACCCCACAGGGCTGTTGTGAGGGCAGATGTCTGGAAGCTGTTATCTAAGTCCTAATTGTTACTGATTGGGTTTTACCCAAGCTTTGCTAAAGGCCTGCAGCAATTTCCTTGGAGAGATGAGAATAAGAAGGGTGAGTTGAGCTGCGGGCAAGAAGTGGGAGCCTGAAACAAGTGGTAAAAAGGTGGGATAAGGGCTGAGATGAAAGTAGTAGTTTGGGAAGCTGGAGCACTTGTGCCTCACTGATATTCTGCTGGGAGAGGAAGATCCCAGGCTTCCATTTTGTTCTGCTCTGAGGTCCTTGGAGAAGACGAAAAGGGGCCGTATTGGGTCTTCAAACCTGTAAAAGATTGATGCAGAGAGGGTGGGAACATTGTCTTCTCTTCATCCTTTGTGGGCAGGACAAGGCTTCTTTTAAAGCAGGAGAGGCTAGACATTAGGAAACATATTTCTGAACACTAAAGGATACTGAACAATACCATTGATTGCTGAGAGAAATAAGATTTTTCTAGCTGCCTTCCCAGCCCCTCCAGTCCTGCTGTCTATGACTTCTGATTTGCCATTGTAAATGTAAGGAGAAAAAAATAGTTAACAGCTGAATATCTCGAAATGAGTTTATAGCCCAAATATATTCTGTTGCATAATTTTAAAATCTGTTTTCTTTTGTCAAGTTAATTTTTCTTTACAAGAAAGCAAAAAAAAAAAAATTAAATAAATCCACAGATTAAAATGTTGTTGGGCTATGAAACTGTTGGTTTTGGATGAAAGCAAAGCCTTTAGATGCTGAAATGTATTTCGCAGGCTGTAATCAGCCGTTGAGTGTGCCAAACAAATACAGCGCATCAAAAAGGCCTTTCACAAAGGAAGATGTATTTTAGAATAAACGGCCCCTCTCGTTTGAATGTATTGTTTTGCTTTGGGTTTGGCCTGAGACACTTTTCAAACAGGGCCAGCTCTTCTTCAGACAGGAGAGGCACAAACGTAATTCCCTTTCCATCTCTGTGCTGCGGTTCCTCCTTTATTGTTACCAAGAAAATGAGCTCTCGTGACACGAGTTTGACAGGCAGCTGGCTGTGGTACAGTGGGCTGAGATGCTGCAGGAGTGCAGCCCCCTCCAGTGCATCCCTGGAGGTGAAATTCTGCCTTTTTCTGGATCAAAGCAGCTTTAGCAATGATTCAAGGTGTTTCCAGTATCTACGGTGGAGCTGTGAAAAGTCTGTTGCTTCCATTGGGCAAGCAGGAGTTTTGCTTGGGTTGAGACTTAGGTGTGAGCTGCAGACCTTGAGCCTTCTGCTCTGATGGAGGATGGATCTGCCCATCCTGTCTGCTGCATGTCAGGCAGCCCCTTCCCTTCACTGGGGGATGCAGATGCACGAGGCATGCAAAAGGGAGGCCTGCAAGCACTTGGCAAGCAATGAGTTCCTTCAGACTCTTTAAAATGCAAACGAAATCTAGTGTTAACCTTCTTTAAATTTCCTTTTGGAAGGAGTAATTGGAGTTAAGGTCTTATATGTGGTAGTAATACATACATAAAATCAATTAAGTGCTAGGAGTGCTGTGAATTGTTTTCTAAACCAAGTCATTCAGTCCCAGGCAGCAAGAGAAGTGGATGATGGTGAGGAAAATGAGAGGATCAAGGTGCAAATATTTAATCCCTGATAGTTATCCTCACTGCAGTGAGAAAATAACATTAGGCACAGATTCATGAAGGGCAAATTCTGTATCTCTCAGTTGGACTTTATTAAATCTAGAGTTGCTTTTGTAGCTTAACTCTAAGTGCCTGTCTGGCTGTAGACATCACCAAGAGAAGTGTTGTTCTGTGTTAGTCAGACTAGGTGCTAGCCATCTTTTCTGCCTTTTCAGATTTATGCAGTAAACATACCCAAGCAGCATGTAGAAATGAGGGTGTTCCTTTAGTTGTAACTGTTGACTTCTTGTCCTTTTGTCCTTTGCTTTACTTACATTAGTTTCTGGTCCAGTAAATGTTTTCTAAATGGCTCTCTAACAAACTATGGGCACTGACAAACTTGCAGAGTATTGTTTAAAAACAAAGAAAATAACCCAAATTTAGAATTATGAGAGTTTAAACTGTTGTGGAACTATGTTAGCTTTAGTTGTCTGGTTTTTGTTTACTTCTTTTTAAAAGCAGTGACTCTAAATGTTATTTGGAAACTAAGAAGCCTGATCAAACTACTGTTCTCTTAGACAGATGTGATTTTTGCAGTTGTTCTGAGCTCTCTCCATGACGCACATGTCCTCCATGTAATTAAAAATGCCTTTTCTTTATGGCTTTATCTCCCCTTCTCCTTTGGCTTGTTTGCTTGCAGAAAAAGATGGACAGTCGGGAATACCAGGATGCACAAGGTTTTGCAGCAGATATTCGGTTAATGTTCTCTAATTGTTACAAGTACAATCCTCCAGACCACGAAGTGGTAGCCATGGCCAGGAAGCTCCAGGTAATGGTGTAGCTAAATGCATCTTTCAGGGTCTGTTAGCTCAGCTGTGAGGTGTCCATTCAGAGATCCGAGCATGGATTTGCTCTTGGCGTCATCGGGGGTGAGTCAGTGATTCCTTCAGCCCTTGAAAAGAGCCTTTTCATGCCCTCTGCTGCAGAAATGTCATGCTCTGCACATGGCATAGCCCAGTGCCACATCCCACTCTTAAAATTTCACAATCATTGGCATATAGAATAATGGGAACGCTTTCTTGGGCCACAAAACGTGGAGATACAGAAAGCTTCCCCTGCCAAGTCTTGGATAAGCCTTGAACTTTGCCCCTCAAAAGAGGGGCAGCTGTTTCTTACTATGATGATTTCAGCCCATGTTCTAGAGTGCTCATCATCGTTCATTATTACAGCACCTTATTTAGTGCAGTAAGGCCCTGATCTCTGCTAATGTATCTGCTGTGTTTGAAAGACCAGAATGAGGTCTTTGTGGGTGAGGCTCCTTTATCACCCGTTTTTCCCTCTCTCTTGTAGGATGTCTTTGAGATGAGGTTTGCAAAGATGCCTGATGAGCCTGCAGAGGCCCCTCCTCCTCCTCCTCCAACAGCACCAGTTGTGAGCAAAAGCACAGAGAGCAGCCACAGCAGTGAGGAGAGCTCTTCTGACTCAGACAGCTCAGACTCGGAAGAAGAGCGAGCCACTCGGCTGGCAGAGCTCCAGGAGCAGGTTGCTGTAGTGGCCAAGCTGTGTGTGTGTGTGTGTCTGCAGTAGAAAGGGCTTAGCAGGAAGGAGGATTTAATTTAGTTCTTAAAAATCCCAGCTAGCCTGAGATGCAGCAGGGAGATCACTCCTTCTGCCAGCTCAAAGAGGAAAGCTCTCAGCAGGGAAATAATTAGTGCACTTTTGATGCCGTGTTAATTTTCTTTGAGATAACCATTCTCAGTGCTGGTGCTCTGGGCTTGTTTCTGGGCATCCCAGAGTATTCAGCCACCATCGACAGTAGGAGTCTGGGAAGCACTGAGAGATCCATTTAGTATGAGAACTCAAGCACGACAAAATCTGTCACAAGCTTCCTGTGGGAAGTTTTCACTGTGTACTCCATAGAATGAACTATTTTGACTGTTGTGATTGCAAGACCGTAAGCCATAGCTTTTCTTATTATGCTTGTGTAGAGTGCAAGTTGCTACAGTGGTTGTATGTGCTGCTGTAATGTAACCAAGCATTAATAAAGTACCCTGTCCAGTGTCTCAGAGCAAGGTAGTAGGAAGCAAACCTAGCATTTCAGAGCCCACACTGTCAGCACTTTAGACAAAGCTATTATTTTATTTGCCTCCTGTGAAGCAAGAATTAAGTTTTCACATCAGTTAGCTTCTGCACACCTGCACTGCATTCTTTGAAGAAGTTCAGATCAGGGTTTCCTAAGTTCAGTCTGCAGGCTTACTAACTTTGAGATATACTTACATGTCCAGGATATGGAGGGAAGAGTACGTGGAGGCATCAGTTTTCTTGCCTTGAAGTCTGATGTATTTTTTCATCATTCTCTTGCAGCTAAAGGCAGTCCATGAGCAGCTAGCTGCGTTGTCCCAAGCACCAGTGAACAAACCAAAGAAAAAAAAAGAGAAGAAGGAAAAAGAGAAGAAAAAGAAAGACAAAGAGAAGGAAAAGGAAAAGCACAAAGTAAAAGCTGAGGAGGAGAAGAAGCCTAAGGTGGCTCAACCACCAAAGCAAACCCAGCAGAAGAAAGCCCCAGCTAAAAAGGCAAACAGCACGACCACAGCTAGCAGGTGAGAGCTTGTCTCCTGCACGTTGCCTTAAGTGGGAACACAAAGAGCCCTCAGCCCAGCTCTGTCCCTCCTGTTCTGTTGTTCCCTGGTGAAGCTCTGTTGTCAGCATGGTTAACTCACCATCGAACAGCATCTCCATTACAGACAGCTTCAGGGAGTTTCCAAGTTGGGGCTGGCAGCACAGCCATCACATTTCCACCTTCTGACTCTTTCAGAATCCCTGCCTAGTCGCTCTCAGATAAGGTTTTGCCTTTTTACCCAGCCAGCAATAACATGCTATTTAGTTTCTGCCCCCCCTGCTGCTGCTTCGGCTTGTTGTCGTGCCTCACAGCACTGAAATATAATTGGAGTAGAACAGCTTATCTCAGATTTCTGAACTTTTCCAAAAGTTGTGGTGCTGTTCAAGCTATCTGGCTAGAGGTTCAAAGCCAAAAACATTGGGATGTTTGTTACAAGGGGAGTAGAAGAAAGAGTTCTTTGCTCCTTATATGCCCATGAATGTTTCCATGCTTGCCAATCTCCCCAGGCAGCCCAAGAAAGGAGGAAAACAGGCATCTGCAACCTATGATTCGGATGAGGAGGAGGAAGGCCTGCCCATGACCTATGATGAGAAACGACAGCTCAGCTTGGACATCAACCGCCTGCCTGGGGAGAAGCTGGGCAGAGTGGTGCACATCATCCAGTCACGAGAACCTTCCCTCAGGGACTCCAATCCTGATGAGATAGAAATAGATTTTGAAACCTTGAAGCCCACAACTTTGCGAGAACTGGAGAGATACGTGAAATCTTGTTTACAGAAAAAACAAAGGAAACCATTTTGTAAGTTACCTCTTGGGGCACACAGTCCTTCACGAGCCCTTGGGCTCAGCTTTGGAGTCAGGGCACGTGTGTTGGGATTCTCTTATCCAGCTTCTGGGTATGTGATGACTGGGATGTTTAGAGATTCTTTTCTAGCTGAGAAAATGGCAGAATTTTTGGTTTTTTTTTTTTCTTCACATATGGCCCTCACAAGGAGACTTGAGGGGATCATTGTATTCCTCTGCAAGACCTGTGTGATATCTGTAGTGCCTTCTACGTTCTAGATAAGCAATACAGTTTCAGTCCATTATGTTGTGTGTAACATGCATATATGTGGAAGGATCAGTTTCTTACCCTGAATAGTTTATCATCTAATTAGGAAGGAAGGAAGTGTTGTTTAAAACCCAAACACCAAGGAAATTAATGAATTGCACACATTTACTTGGGTAAGGTAAGCATTCTGGGTCTGAGTTGTATGCTTGCCACAGAACTGCTAGTCCTACCACGTATTAATGTGTCAGATAAGGAGGTGCATGTTAATACACTGGGGAGCGTACTGAGCAGTATGGTACAGGCTTTTCTGTGCTTCAACCACAGAGTGAATTGTAGCCCCTTGAGAATCGAGCCCCAGCTAAATAGCAGTAGCATGCCACTTACCTGAGGTGATCCTGGCTCAGTCCATCTATTCATAGGTTAAGAGGGAAGTTGTTCTGATAAGAATATAACACAAAAGCTACTCACGACTCTTGCAGAGCACCTCTGTTTTGTTACCACAGGACTTCAGGTCACCTGAGCAAAACTCAGTCTTTGACCCTTCTTTTTGCTTTTTACTACGCTGGTTTGATTTCTTCTTTCCTCCCCCAAGTCCTTTAATTCTGCAGTAGCTGAGGAAAACATTTTGCAGAGTTGCTAGGGACAAGAGGCATCCTTCTGCTTTGGAGTAACACAGATGACCTCAGATATCTGTCTGCCCACTGCTCTGAGCCCAGCATGCCCTGAGCTGTTGTGCTCAGTCAGCAGGCACCATGTGGATGCATGACTTTCCCCAGACTCTCCTGCTCTCTGCTGCCTATTGTGGTGCTCAGTGTTCACAAGCACCCTCTGAGGACTTTGCTTTCCAGTTTCCCTTTAAAGGAAAAGAGAAAAAAAGTTGCTTGAAAGCAGTGTGCAGAAATATAGGCATTTCCTTACTGGATCAGGCAAAATATCTGGCTCCCGTCTGCTTCCGATACTGGCCAACACCTGTGTTCAATTACTCTTGTGAGTGATATTTCTTCTGCTCAGAAGCATTAGCACTGCTGTTACTCCTCACTATTTCCGTCCTGACCGAGGCAGCTACATTCCTGTTGTCTGCCAGCCTTTGCTGGTTTTTAATTTTTCTTTGGTTTTATATTTCAAGCAACTTAAAGCAATCTATTCTCACTTGAGGTGTCTTGAGTTTTAATGGCAGATGCTTGCTTCCTCCTGACAGCATTTAATGGGATGCTGTATTTTACAGGGCAGAAAGCCCATGTAACAATTCTGTAATAACAAACGTGTAACTATTGAGCATATAACTAGCTGGTAAGTAACCTGTAACCACAAGGTTATTGCACAGATATATTTCTATCTCCTGGAACACTTTCCAGAAGGCCTCTCTCAAAAAGTGCACATTACAGGGTGATGGTGACTGATGATCTGGGCAACTTCACGTGTTGTCCTTTATCTGAGATGTGTAGTTGCTACGTGGTCACTTGATTTGAGCAGCTTCACTGCAAAGTGTTTGCACAGACTTATGTGCCCTGTGAAACAGCAATGTCCACCCTTTTCTGCACCCTCAACAGTGCGGTTTCAGAAACTGTATGTTCCTCTTCCACAGCTGCAAGTGGAAAAAAGCAAGCAGCAAAGTCTAAAGAGGAGTTAGCTCAGGAAAAGAAGAAAGAACTAGAAAAACGGCTACAGGATGTCAGTGGGCAGTTAAACAACAACAAGAAACCTGCAAAGAAAGGTAATGGCTGTGGTTCTGTGTGCTGCTGATGCCTGGAAAATTGTGTGTGCAGGTAGTTGTCTTCACTAAGGCCAACCTGCTGCCTTTGTGTAGCCTTGGGTTTATCTATGGGAGTTCCCCCAGTCTGTCATTAGTGTGGGCACAGCAAGTTACTGCTGGGCACCTGAGCTGCTCTTTGGGGTTTGCTCCCATCCCTGTCCTGTTGGAAACTCCTCTTGGTGGTAAACAGGACCTGTCTTAGAGGTGATTCAAACTTCAGAGCAAGATGTGCTGCTCTGTTTGTCTCTGCAGGGTTGTTCACGCAGTATCACAGTAAACCAGTACCACAGCATGTTTAATAGGTGATTTTTCTCCACGGTGGGATTGAAAAAGCCACCTCATAGTGCAGTAGTGTGAAAGATGGGATGAAAGGTTATTCCAGGGCAAATTGAGCTGCTTCCACCTTGCCCTGAATCACAGCAGGCAGTGAGCACAGCTGCCTGGGCACTCTGTGCCACCTTGCCAGGAGCAATTTACAGCTGTTGGTGGCCATGAAAGTTTGGGCCCTGCATTGGAGCACCGCAGTGCCCTCCACAGGGCTCCATTGCAGAGCCCAGACTTTCATGGCCACCTGCAGCATTAGAAAACCCCGCTGTCCCCTGGGCCGGGCACTGTTCCAGCTGGCAAAGTCAGTGGGTCAATAAGCTGTCTAGGCAAAACGAAGCCATGAATGAAGCTGTGGGTAACAAAAGCCATTGGCAAACCTTCTCTGTGGAGTTCAGCTCCTTGAAAGTCACCACTTTGCTGCCTTCTTTCCCGCAGAGAAATCTGGCTCTGCTCCCTCTGGAGGCCCTTCCCGGCTCAGCAGCAGCAGCTCCTCCGAGTCAGGCAGCAGCAGCTCCAGCGGCTCCAGCTCAGACAGCAGCGATTCAGAATGAGCTAAGGACACTTACACAAACAGCACAGAATGGACATCACCCTCACCGATGCTCTGCAGTGTCCCTTTCTCTCCTTAAAGTACTGCTCTTGTTCCACGGTGGTCAGGTGTTTGTTTGTTTTTCCTTCCTCTCTGACTTTTGTTGGTTTTTGTTGTTGTTGTTTTGTTTTAATTCAGTGTTATAAAAGCTATCTTCCATTTTCCAGGGGCGCTTTTTTTTTTTAATGAACAGGTCGAAGATCTTTGCGTGTGTGTGACTAGACTTTATGGCAAGCAGTTCCCTTTGCATAAAGTCTCTAAAATACACTTTTTACTGAAGAAATTAGGTTGAAAATGGAAGAACTTGGAACTCTTTGCAGGAGGTGGCTAGTAGGTTTCTGCAGAGTTTGTAGTACGTCTCCCTTCTGCCCCTTCCTTCTCCCCAAATTGTTCTCTTTTAATAAGCCCACCTGGCTCACGAGGAAATCTGTAAAATGGTACTGTATCTAAAAGATGGTAGCTTTGGAACTAGTTGGTGTATTTGTTGATTAGCACTAGGATTCTTAACCTCAAAGTCTGCGGTGTGATGGAAATGTCAGATGCTATCATCTTTTTTACAAAAACAAAAGAAGAAACAAGAAGAAATCCAACATGCTGTGGATTGCTAACATTTTTGTTACTGTTGGTGGAGGCACAGGCACCTGTTGAGGAAGGTATTTAAGCATGAATTTAATTCTCAGCACATGAGCGATGCAAATACTGGTATGTGTGCTTCCTAGCACTCCAAATTTCCATTTTCCTTGGGAATGCATCAATAAGAAGGGAGCGAAGGATACCCAAGTTTCTTGGGAATGTTGTTTTTAACATCAAATGGATAATTTCCAGGAAATTGGCATTCTCTATGAAAGCTTGTGCTGTAACTGAAAGCATCTCCTGGCTGCAAGCTGGGCCTCGAGGCGTGCTGCCTGAGTGACCAAGAGCAGCCGTGTGCTCACTATTAGGCACGTGCTTAAGTACTTTCTCCATGACAAGCACCTCAGTCTGGGCTTAAAATAAAAGAGCACTCGAGCTCCAGCTGAGGCTGAGCTGGCAGGGGACTCAGAGAGGGATGTTGGTTGTGTGCTTTGTTGCTCGGTTTTGGTTTCGTTTGTTTCTTTCCCACCCTTTATCTTTGTATCTGCAATGAGCTCCTAGAAAGGGAATGCTACTTCTGTGTCATGCAGGGTGCAGGTTTCCAGATCCTGAAGTGTTTACCTCAATTATAGTTATAAGGGAAAAAAAAAAAGGGGGGGGGATGGGAGGGAGGGAAGGGTGAGGATGAGGGGAAGGCAGTTTTTTAAGGCTAGCAATTTCTTACAAGTCAGCCTAACGTTTTCACCTGCACTGCTGCAATACACTCCTTTTTCTGTCTCACGTGTATATATAAGTACTTTATTTATTAAACACATTGGTCATTTAAAACTCACTAAAAGTAATAAGACCAGCAGAAATGATGCAGACTTCTAATATGGTTCAAACCAGATGAAGAAGAACACAGAGATGTTATTTAAATACGCTGGACTTCATACCTCCAGGTGCTACGGTCCGGCCTGTTGTGTGTCTGGTGCTCTGTCATGTCTTGTGTGTTCACTTTGGGTTTTGTTTTCTGTCCTCTCTCTTTCCAATCCAGCCCCTTCTTTCTTGTTTTGTACAGATTTTGAAGACGTGCAGGTAGATGTAATTTCTTAATGGAACACCTTATATTGTCTGTATTATTTCCACGTGTCTCTCCCCTTCTCCATTTTTATTTTTTTGTGTGTGTGAAACAGTGTTGGTTTTTCATTTTATAATCCAGTTTTAGGAAAACAGCAGTTCTGTAACTATATAAAGTTTGTAATCTGAGGGGCAGAAATTTATTGTAAATTCTTAACTTTTTAGCTTTTTATTGTAAAGAAAATATACAGAGTTTAACAGAAAGTTACGCCTTTCCTTCTCCCACTACCAGCCCCTATGGCTGCATCTCTGCTGTGGCTCAGCCCCAAAGCTCACCCTGCTGAGGTCTCCAGTGGTGCAGATTGCACCGGTGTTTATTTCTCACGTAGGTGAGTGGCTGTCGGTCACTTTGTGCCCATCAACTGCTGTCTTGCTGGCTGTGCCCACGAGGCTCTGCTACCACTGGATGCCCTGCAGGTCGCACAGCTGGCGTGGCTCTGTGTCTCTGCACAGCGACCATCGCACGCTCTCTGAAGCTGTAGAAAGGAGCTGCCGTTTTCAGCTGCGAGTCGAAAGCAGCTCTGCTGCTCACAGCATCCCTGGGCCGTGCTGTCAGTGGGTGCTGGGCCCTTTGGAGCCCTGGAGGTCTTTGCAGGTGGAGTTTCCTTCGTGTCGGGATCAGGTGAGCTGTAGGGTGCTCTGATTCTTACTGAAATGAATGATTTTTCCATTAACAATAAAGTTATTTTTAGTTGCTATATTTTTTTTTTCTTCCATTCCACCCTTACAAAAAAACCTCCCCCTAGACAGATGTTTAGTAATATATTTTCAGAATGGACTATGAGGAGATGTAATATACACCTAATTGAGAGCTTTGTTGTTTGTTTTTATAATGGGCTTGGTTTCCATCTGCGTTTCGCCTTAGACGTGCATTATCAAAACTAACCAGTATTTTAATTAAAGTAATTGCAACCGCTTCAGTGCCACGACAGCACGGATCAAACAGGCTCCTGGTTCTCCCTGCTGAAATCCTTTCCCATGTGCATTGACTGGAGCTGCACCATTGATGTGAGGTGATGGTTGCTGTGGACAGAAGCAGCTCCTGTGCAGGCAGCACCCAACAGGCGGTGGCTTCAGCTTCCACTGGGTGGAAAGCTTTCATGGCAGTGAAGGTGTTTCCCACGAAATGGCAGCTTGCAGGAGAAATCCATTCTGCCACAACCTTCGTTTCAGGAGAAAACCAAGTGGTCGCTGCAAAATGTTGTTCTTAGGATTCCTTTCATGTTGTTTGTAGCACTTATCTGCCAACGTGCCATTAGTGATGCTTCTGTACTTGCAGATCAGAGCCTCTCCAGGAAAGAAGAGGTGTTTTCAGTCCATAGCAAGTAGCAGCTGTTACATTGAGTTGGAAACGGAAAGGATAGAAGACTTATTTGAGTTGGTGTGGCGTGATGTGCCAGTGGGATGCCATGAAATCACTTGGAAGTGATCAAATGTATAAAGAATATTTGAAATAACGTTTTTAAGCTTCAGAATAAAAACAGCTGAAATTTTTATGCAGCGTTGTTTTCCAGGGGAGGTGTCTGTGAAATCAGTGAGATTTCATAGGTACACGTGAAGCTGGTTTTGCTGACAAACTCCTACGTTGAGCAGAGCCATCGACCAGCATCGCTGCGCCTTTAAAGCCTGGCTGAGCTTTCTCTGATGGTCAGTTTTTGGGCAGCCCAACGCATGCAGGCTCAGTGGGCCCAGAGCAACACCCCAGGGCTCAGCCCTGCTTTTCCCCTGACATCTGTTGGGTAGAGCAGCTTTCTGCTGGCCGAACCTCGTCAGTTTTGTCCTGCTGCGCATTGAAGCTTTCCTACCTGCAGGGTCTGTGGCTGCAGAGCTGATGTTTGGGGCTCTGTTGTTTGCTTGCAGCAGATGCACGCGCTCACCCCACATGCACAGTGTGCGTATATAGGGGCAGGTTAGGTAGCAGGGAGGTCTCTTCCCACGTGCTGTGTGGTAGAAGCAGACTGCAGTGACCTCATTAGTTCGTTTTGGGGGCTCTTAGACCAGTTGTGAATTTGCTTTGAAAGGAACGACGTTTTTTTGAGGCTGGGGTTGGAGCTTTGGGGGAAGGGATTGGGGCACAGCAAAGAGAAACCACCTTTTTCGTGCTGGATTTTAAGATATATTCCAACACGTGGGCAGTTCCCACTGGGGCTGAACTGCAGGCAAAGCTGGGCTGAGGGTTCCTTACACGAGCAGCATTTTCTGCTTGTGGGAAAAAAAAAACCAAACCAACGGGATGCATTTTTTAAACTAAGAAATGGTATTTGCATATCTTTTTAAACGTCGTTTTTAAAAGAAAGAAATAAACCAGCAGCTCTGGGGTTTGGCACAGGCCGCTGGGAGCTCATCCCTGCTACTGGCATCACCCATCCAAAAAGATTTTGCTGTTTGTATTTTTTTTTTCCTTTTTTTTTTTTTTTTTTTTTTTAATATTTAAAAACAAAAGCTGTTACTTTTCTGTATGATGTGCATGCAAACTTACCGTAACTCTCTTTCTTAAAACTTTTTAGTGCCATTTCTAGTATATTCCTGTAAATGTCAGTTACTGAAGAGAGAGAAAAAAAAGAAGTCAGTGTAAGTAGTTTAGCTTGTTTATTGCAAATTGCTGGCCTCAAACACAACAGAATTTAAAAAGACAGAAGTTAGGAAGTAATCTTTGATGTTACTGGTAATGGACCCTGGTCCTGGGGCATCTGTTTTGTTTTCATAATAAAAAGAAAAACAGCTCTGTGTGTGTGGTTTGTTACCCTCTGTCCTCCTCTCCTCTCTCTCTGCCTCCTCTCGTGTTGCATTTCTCCAGCCGAAAGCCAGCAGGGTTTGCTGTAGTGATCAGCTGCACAGCACTGCTAACAGAGGAGCACAAACAAACTGCACTGTGAGCCTGGAGATGTCAGTTTGCAGCCCCCCTGCTGGTGCTGCACTTGTGGGCGAAGTGCCTGCAGGGCACAGGAGATGCTGGGCCGCCAGTGTGGCCTGCAGCTCCTCTGCATGGCAGCTCAGCACCCAATGGGCAAAATACCCCTCTCCTTTGGTGAGAGATTTGGGCTGCTTTGATGCAGCCGAGGGATGGATGACATTTTGCCCTCCTCAGTTTGTGTCAGAGCTGCATCTGATGGAGGGAAGCTGACCTGCAATAGGAGAGGATGAAAACATCACCCACATTTAACGCTGGCTGTTTTGTAGCCCCCAAAAACTGGAGGAACCAGAGGGGGTTTCCTTACCAGCTTTCCCCCTGGTGCAGCCAAGTCACAGGGGGTGCATTTGGGGAAGGAGGAGCTGCAGCAGTGCTCGCACTCAGGGCAGAGTTCCTGGCATTGCTGTGCAGTGGCCAAAAGCTATTCTGGTTGCTGGAGGTGGTTTTTTTCCGTTGGCTTTCTCGGATGTGTGCCTTATTTGTACAGAGGGGTCACAGCAGCCAGGAGCCAGCAGGGTTAATCTTTCTCTAACCCTGTTCCTGCTCACTGGCTTTAAATGCTCTGATCTCGAAGGTTTCAGCAAACCTGTTTTGCTTTGCTGTTGGATCAGCGCAGCTCTGTGCTGACAGTCATTCCTCCAAAGGAAATGCTTTTTCATCCTTGCCTTTACTGCCTCCTATGTGCTCACTGCTTCCATCAGTGATCTCCAGCACTTCCCCTTCACCCCAGCAGCTTCTCCCCATGGGCAGGCACTGCAGTGCCTTGCTGGGGCTGACTGGCAGTGACAGCAGCTTCTGAGTGCCACAGTGCTAAAGATGCAGAATTAAGAAGCGTGCACAGAGCGATGCATTCAAATCATTTTAATGCACTTTATCCAAGAGGCTACAGCAGCATTTTCAACAAGTGCATCTACCACCACTGCTTGCAGCAACGCTCACTTCATAGCAGCCACTCCACGAAGCTACTGTGACTAATGGGGACTCGGCTGTGGAAAATGCACTCGCACCCAGGGACGGGGGGGGGAGGACAAGTCACACTTCTCCATGCTGTCGTATCCTGGAACAATGTAGGCACGCACTTCAAGTTTTCACTCTTGAGTAGTTCGACTCTTCAAAGTGAATTTTGGTTCCCAGCCACGTGAACAAAAAAAAGGACTGATTAAACCCAAGATCCTCATCATCTTTCTTACCGAAATTAAAAAAATAAATCTACGTGGGTTTTTTGTGTTTTGTTTTGTTTTCTGTAAGAAAAGCAAAGGAACAGCGGGCGGTGGGGACGTGCTGTTGCTCTCCCTCATCTTCAGACTGCAGTCAGTGCTCCCTGGGCACTGCATGAGCCCATTTCTAGGAGCACCCACCACGTCCTGCAGCCCAGGCACTGCTCTGCCCAACCCAGCAGCTTCCTGAGTCCAGCTCACGTGCTGAGTTCTGCTTCCCAGGTTGAGCAAACATGATCAGAACGTTTCCCAGCTCGTCCCGTGGAGCTCAAGAGGATCGTCTGCACGGAGCGACACGCAGGTGGGTGAAGCATGGAGGTCCATCTCAGCAGGTTTAGCTTTACAAGCACACGCACACAGCACCAAACACGCACACATGCATTAGTAGTTACATTACAAACAGCTGCCTGTGATTTGCAGTGCATCCACTGGGTATGGTCTCAGGGTAATGAGGGTGTGTGCTGCTCAGTGCCTTTGTGCTCCAGCATTCAGCACACACGGGAGGGGGGGAGAAGGTTCTTCTTCGCTGTGTTAAAATAAAGTGCTTGAACGATATTGAAAGGGAGAGGTTTGAGATAAATACAACAAAATACCTGATCTTAGGCAAGTAAATGATCCACCTTGAGGTCAACACCGGGTCCTGGTTTGCCTGGAACTGAACCCGTGTCCCAGCACTGCTGGATGGGGTGTCCAGGCAGGTCTGTGCCTTCAGCCCAGTGTTACACTGCAGTGCTGGGCACGAGATTAACAGCCCTGCAAATGGTGCTGCTTCATTTTTAAGAAAGGTTTGGGTGTTTGCTGCATTGGTTTCTTTACTATGAGAGTGGTGAGGTGCTGGAACAGCTGCCCAGAGTGGTTGTGGATGCCCTGTCCATCCCTAGAGGTGCTCAAGATCAGGTTGGATGGGACCCTGGGCAGCCTGGTCTAATATTAAATGGAGAGGTTGGTGGCCCTGCGTGTGGCAGGGGGTTGGAGATTCGTGATCCTTGAGATCCCTTCCAACCCTGGCCATTCTGTGATTCTGTGGTTCTCAGCCTGACCTTGCCTTCCATTGGCTGAATCAAACACTGCCAAACACAGTTATGTACACACCAAATCTACTACAAGAGATGTCATCCAACCAGGATTAGCACATAAATCCATCCAAGCGACTACATGCAACAAAACTGAAATGCTGAGCAACCTTCAGCAGGCTGCTTCCTTCTGCAGCCCACCTCTGCCTGCAGGCAGCACCCAGCGAGCGCCCTCCAGGAGCTGCGTGCTGCTTTCTTCCTACAGAGGGGCTCTGCTGCATCGGCTCCAAAAGTGCCACCTATCATTTGTTTCTGTAGCACCAAACTGGCACCAGACAGGGCACTTTGCTGGGAAACTGCAGCACGCCTTTCCTGCTAAGTGTTTTGAAGGCTGAGTTCTCAACGTGCTCCATCCACGTGGTCCAGTTGGGCACTGCCAGCTCTCACATCCCAAGCAAGTTTCCAACCCAACATGGGATGCCACCGACAGCACAAAGCAACAGAAACCTCCGGCTGCCGCTCAGACCCATCCTTAAGCTGCTTTGGCCGCAGCCCTGTGGTTGTGCAAACCTGCTTCGCATCCACGTGCAGATTTCTGACACAAAATTACATGATAGCACAGAACTTGGACTGCCCCGTGTCCCTGGAGACGTCCAGCTTGTTCTTGTCCCGCACCAGGATGGCCTCATTGCCGTACTGCGAGTACCACATGCTGCGGCTGCGGCTCAGATACGTGTTGGGGGGGGCCGACTCCAACTTCTGCTGCTGCTGCTGCCAGATGAGCAGCGAGGTGTCCCGGTACCGCAGCCTCGCGTAGCCCTCGGACAAGGCTTTTTCGGGCAGGGGCACCCGCCCGTTCATTACTTTCTCACTCATCTGTCCAAGGGCACCTTCAGAGATGAGAACTTCCTCCCGAAATACACCCCGCTGGGTCGGAGCGGCTCGGCTGTAGCGCTGCGCTCAGAGCTGAGCATCCCAGGGACGCAGGCGATGCCTGGCCGGCTCAGGGCAGGGGATGCGCGGACTCAGAGCTCCCTGCGGGCAGCCCGGCCTCGCCGGAGGGATGCGCGGGGCCTTCCCGCAGCTCACCCAGCGGCGACATCGCGGCGCGGTTCGGCTGGCACTGCCTTCGTGTCCCGGTGCCCTCCGAGCAGCTCCGCGTGCGGTGTCGGCGGGTTGCGGGGTGTCCCTCGGATGGGGCCAAGGCGCGTGTCCCCCCGTCACCGTGCTGCAAGCGGACGGACGGACGGCGTTCCGCAGATCAGGCATCCATCGCTGCAGGCCGAAACGCCGCTCCGGGTCTCTCGCCGCCCATCGATCTCCTTCCTCCTCGCTTCGCCGCTTCAACCTGGGGGGGCACAGCGAGGGGTCACGGCGAGGCCCACCCAGCGCTCCCCAACTCCCACCACCCCCACCGCCATCCCTTTCGGCCCCCATAATCCCCATTACACGGCCGCCTTCCCCCATCCCCGCCCTCCCCACGCCCCGTACCCTCGTTGCGCGGTTCGGTTCGGCCCGGCCCCGGCTCGGCTCCGCGGAGCGGCGGCAGCGGAGACGCCTCCCGAACGCATCACGGCGGGCGGAGCCAGCAGCGGGGCCGGCCTGCGAGAGGGGGGGGGAAACGGCGGAGTCGCTCCACGCGTGTCCGAACGCTGCGGGAAAGCCGTGGGGAGCCCCTTGGTCGGGACCGCCGCAGCCCCGTGAGAGCAGCATCCTTGGGGCTCTGCCTTTCCGTCCGTGGGAGCCCCCCCGGCTAAACGCAGCACGAAATGCGTTGCGAGGAGAGCTCGCTCTTTTCCCGATGATGCTAAATTTAAACTCGCAATCTTCTTACGTCCTGCAATCGCAGCGCCAGCTGATCTGCTGCTCAGGGCATGAGGAAGCCGCTTCCTGCTCCGTTGTGCGGGGTTGGCGTCTGTCAGACACGCTGCATTCCTCGCTCCCGGGAAACCGAGACCAAACACAAAAGAGGAGGCAGGAGGGCACGCGAAGGAGCGCGCTGTGGATGTGTTTACTATCGGAAACGTCGCGGCTTTGCAGCTCCGTCCGCCTCCCGGCAGCGCAGAGCAGTCAGCCCAGGCCCCACCTGGTGGAGGCTGCAGAATGCGAAATCGTCACAATCTGAAATCATCATTAAATGGAACCGGATTCAATATTTTCATTATATTTTTTTGCATACATTCGCTTCTCCCCCTCCCCCCCGGTTCTTTGATCCCCTCTGAAATCCCCTCCCAGAACTCGGAGCACAGCAGGAGGTGCTGAAGGTGGGGGGAACTGCAGCCCCAAAGCCAGCAGCTGCCTCTGCCCATCCACTGCAGCACAGCCCTGTGCCGGCTGCCAGCGGGGCCCTTCCGACTAAAAATAAACCCTGGAAGCAGCAGCAGCAACAGAAGGGATAAGGTGAGAGCTCTGTGCAGTGCTGGGGCAGCTCCTCTGCTCGCCTCAAGGCTGCCCCATAGAAAACCACAGGGCAGTAGGGCTGCAATTGCTGCACCTGGACACAGGACGTGTGGGGAGGTGGATGCAGGGGGAGATGAGCCAGGATGCTGTCATTCAGACCCAGCATTTCTACTCATCCTTGTGCTTATCTCCTTTGATACAACAAATGCTTTTATTTAAGTCAGGATGACCGCCCTTGGAACTGCAATGTAATGCAGTGCAAACCATAACCATAACTGTAACCTAACCATAACCTAACCCTAACTGTAACTGTTACCCTAACCGTAACCTAACCCTAACCATAACCTTACCCAGAACCATAACCTAACTGTAACCCAAACCCCAGCCATAAAGATAACCATAATCCTAACCATAACAATAACCAAACTGTAACCGTAGCCCTAATTATAACCATAACCCTAACTGTAACCCTAATTCTGACCCTAACCCCAAAGTGACAAAGGAGGAGAGCTCTTAATCACAAAGCAGTGACGTAAAAGGGTCTGGGAAGTACAGGAGCATCTTGAACATTGTAAAGCAGCTCGCCAGGCACAGCTGCAAAGGGAAGAGATCAAGAGATACAAAAGATGGATAAAAAGGCGGGATGTGCCGGCTGTGCGGGAGGCCGCCCGCACCCAGAGCTGCCCGAAGTTCAACACGGCGTTACGTCGGCTCCAAGCGGGCCGGTACCGAACCCGGCCCGGGGGCTGCGCTGCTGCACGCACGGATCGCTCCGGGAGGGGGCGATGGCAGCACGCGGACGTGGCTGCCTCGGAAACTGGGGAGGTCCTGGAGGGTCTCCTTTCCATTCCCTTCCCTTCCCTCTTTTCTCCTTTCCACCTCTCTTTTCTTCTCTCCTTATCTCTCATCTCCTTTTTTCTTCCCTTCCCACGCCCTCAGTTACACCCCACGCTCCACAGCCCATCTCAGCTCAGTACCCCCCTGTAGCACTCGCTGCCGGCCTGCACTCCATTACTGAGAATGTTTTAGAATGGAAATATTATGATGCTACTTCTGCTATGATCTTCCCAGCACCCTCGGTTATCAGCCTCACTCGTAGCATCGCTCAGCGCAGCTCTGCACCCAACCCCCAGCAGAGGGAGATGTCCACCTTTGGGTGCCTCACAGATCCACGCTTTGTTTGCTATTCTTTTTATTGCTGCTGTTTTGTTAGTTTTCTGCTATCTCTGCTGTTTTCCCAGTAGACGAGAGGCAAACTTCCCTCGGCACCACCCCCCACAGGCTGCTGTGACTGTTCCAAGTGCCCGGGGCCCAAGTCTGCTCATAACCACATAGCAAAAAGCCAGGCCTTTGCCAGCAGCCCTGGTTAGAGCAAACCCTTCTGTAGTTTTCTACCCACAGACCTGAGCTGACCGGGCAGCCCAGCACACACAGAACCTCTCCACACCTCCTGCTGCCTGAAATCAGTGCTGCTGAGCGCAGCTGGGGCTCAGCACAGCTCTGATTGCAGGGCTGGGGCACACAGGTGCTGCTCCATCCCTGTTCCCATGCAGGGATCTGGGCACCACACAAGTCTTGGATCCTCCTCCCCATCCTCAGGGCTCACACTGGTGATGTTTCTCTCTCCCCATCCCTGCTTGGCTCGGAGGTCAGCTTTGCAATTGGACGTCCAGGTGAATTGCTGATTCCAGCCCAGGCTCTGCTCCCAGCTCTGCCTCTCTACGATGGGAATGAATTGGCAAACTCTTGGGAGAGGATCTCCGAAAAAAAGACCAAACAAACTCAGAGCTGATCGGAAAAGAGGCCGTGCTGAGCTGGATGGATGCCAACAGTGAAAATTAGAGATTTTCAAGAATTTGCTGCCAAGGACTGAATGGCTGAGAGATGAGGTTTGTCATAAAGACACCGGTAATTAATTAACAGAGTTGTCTTTGTGTTTTGGAAGGATCGTTTGTTTGGGTTAACGTTTCCGTGCGGTGTTCGTGGCTCAAACAGGAGCCGAGGAGCGGGCAGACAAAGCGGGACGGGGTGCGGGGCTGCAGAGCGGGGCTGCGCTCTGCGCGAAGCAAAGGGGAGGAAACACGAGGAGGAGGAAGAGAGGAGATATAAAAAAAAAAAGGGGGGGGGGAAAGGAAAATGGAAAAAAAAAAAGGGGGGAAAAGAAGGAAAATAAAGAGAGGCGGGGGAAAAAAAAAAAAAAGGAAAAGAATGAAAAAAAAAAAAAAAGGAGCGGAGGCGGCAACGCACCGCCCTCCCCCCGGCCCGGCTGGGGCTCCCGCAGACAAAGGGGCGGGGGGGGCGGTCCGGGAGCTCCTCCCGTCGGGGCGGGGGCTGCGGGGCTGTGCGGGGGGAGCAGCAAACTGCCACCCGGTACGGCGGCGGTCCGAGCCGTGCTGTGTGCAGGTGGGGCCCCGCAACTTTCCTCGGGGCGGTGCCTGCGGGGGGTTGGGGGCAGGACGCAACTTAGGCGGCGGCGGGCCCTTTGTCCGCGGGGCGATGCGGTGCGGCTGAGCGCGGCAGTGGGGCCGCACAGGGGCAGCCCTTCGCCGGAAAACTCCGCTCCGTCCCCCGCCTCCTCTTCCTCCTCTTTCCTCCTCCTCCTCCTCGGAGGAGCGATGCGATGCTTCCCCGGACGGCGGGCGGCGATGGAGCGGAGCCGTAGCGCGGCGGCTCGGAGCGGAGCAGCCCCTCGCTGAGCGGCGAGGAGGAGGAGGAGGAAGGAGGAAGGCCGAGAGCGAGAGCGGGGCCGCGGCCATGGAGGAGTGGCGGCAGTGCGGGCGGTGGTTGATCGACTGCAAAGTTTTGCCCCCCAACCACCGCGTGGTTTGGCCCTCGGCGGTGGTCTTCGACCTGGCGCAGGCGCTGCGGGACGGGGTGCTGCTGTGCCAACTGCTGCACAACCTTTCTCCCGGCTCCATCGATCTTAAGGACATCAACTTCAGGCCCCAGATGTCCCAGGTAGGAAGGGAGGAGGGAGTCGGGGGGTTCCGTGGGGCTCTTTGTGGTGTTCGTGCAAAAACTTCGTGGCACGCGTGGATGGGGAGGGTTTGTGCCGATGTCTGCATCGCCTCCTCCTCTACCGGACCGCGGGGCTCAGCCTCTGCGGGGAGACCACGGGAACGGGCTGGGGGTGGGGGCTGGGGGTTCCGTCCCCGGGAAAGAAGGAAACTTCTCTCCCGTATTTACATCATCCGGAAACAAAAGCAACTAACAGAGCTGAGGGCTGCGTGATTACTTTCCGGGCTCTTAACGAGCCATTAATTCGGCTTTGATGCGCTGGAGGAGCCGGCGGTCTCCAGTGCTGCCTTGGGAGGAAACTGACCTTGAGAGCAAAAGTTTCCCCAGAAAAATGAAAAATAACAGCCGCGCACATCCCGGTGCCCCGCAGTGCCGTCCCTTCCCGCACCGGGGCCGGCTGTGGTTCCCATCCGGATTCCCATTTCTCGCTGCGTTCCCTGCTGTCCCCATCGCTATTCCCGTTTCTCGCCGTCCCCCTGCCCAGCTCCCATCCACGACTCGAAGGTACGGGAACCGTAAAGCTTTAGGATTCCATTCCTTGGAACTGTTTCAAGTTTTTTGACTGTTTTGATGGAGACGAACCTCAAACCGGCTCTGGTTGTTTTGGCTTCAGATGCTCCGTTTGCGTTTTTTGCACTTCGAGCTGTGTGTGGTATTTGCATGGGAATCGGGAAACGAAATCGATTGCAAACAGCAAACCACGCAGCCTCAATCCCCTGTGCTGAGGATCCTTCGGTGAGCAGGGAGGGGGAATTACCTGCTTGCGAGGGCACGTGAGATTCTGCTTATCCAAGTATTTGAAAGCTAATGTATAACGTGATCTCGAGTTGTGCTCTGTGCTGCGCAAGCACGCTGCGGGGCCGCAAGCGCCTCTCCCTTGTTGTGCTGGAGTTCTGTGCCAAGGGGAGGTTGCTTCGGGGCTGTCCTGCCCTCTCTCCCAGCAGAACACAGCTGCGTGCGGTTGGGGAGCTGCGTGCCCAAGGACGGCTCACCTGGGAGCTGCTCAGGCCTGATGCTCAGCGTGAATACCACGAAATGATGCCTCTTCCTGGGCTGCAGCAATGCTGGGGGTTTCCCTTTAGTTCTCCGGGCTGTAAACTGAGCAAACTGCCTTCTGTGAAGGCTGTTGTGAGCAAATAGAAGCTGTCCCACTGGAGCGGTGTGGGGAGCTCTGTTAAAACACGCTGTGAATGGCGCGACCTGGGGTTGTTCTTTCAAGGAAATATTGTAGCCCTGCGAACCTAGGTTGGGTTTAATCCTTGCCCTTGGGGAAGTAACATCAGGATTAGGGATGGCAGCTGTGATCTGGAGGAGGTCCCAGCAGTTTAGGAAGGAGCTCCTGCTGCCTCAGAGCAGCTCCTGCCCCGCAATGGAGGTGGGAGCTCACAGCCCTGCTATCCTCCATTGCTTTCTGCCTGCAATACTCCGGTGCTTCGTTGGCTTTAGGGGGAGGGCGGGCTGAGCTGAGCCTGAGGGAGGTGTAGATTTTTGTCAAAGAGCAGTGATGCGTTCAGACACAGGCTGGGATGTGCAAGACAGAGTGTATTCAAACTTCAGAGGTGGTTTTGGATGCTAAACGTGTGTTCAGGCTGACAGGCTGGGCTGGGTCACCAGCTGCCTGCCTTGTGCAGAGAGTTTCCTTCGTTTATGTGAAGTGCCAGGGGACGGAGGCACGTGTGCCAGACTTGAAACACCCAGCAATGCTCTGTCATCTCCTTCTGAGTGAATCAAATGGGGCTGTGCAGGTGCGTAAGGAGAAACAGCTTTTTGCCTGAGGTGAGCACCACTTCAAAGGCCAGAGGTGAAATCCCACCTCAGCAAAGATCCAGACGCTGTCGTGTGTTTTCTTACCTTCCCCCATCCCTGCTGGTTTGGTTCTGTTGCAGCTGGAGCTCAGGTTCAGCTCTGCAGTGGGTGAGGCTGCAGGGGTCCTGCTGTGCTGCAGAGGGGTGGCCTGGTGTCCCCTCCTTGCTGAGCTCCAGCTCTGTGCTGCTGCAGTTCTTCTCTCCGTGGCACCAGGCTGTGTTCCTTTAACTCATTTATTTGCTAAACCCAAAGAGGCTGTGACCTCAGGCTTGCTTTTTTTACTGCTGGATCCCAGAGGCAGGGTTCCCTGGTGATGCTTGGCAGGACAGGGTGACCCTGTTTGCTTGCCCACTCCAAGTTGCTGAACCTCTATGGAGACATAATGAGCAGGAAGAAGCCTTAAAACCCCACTCTGTTCCGAGAGTTGGCAGATGTGAGGCTGCTGCTGATGAGCCTGGAGTAAAACTTCATTTCTGCTAATTGCTTTTGCTGTGGAGGCTGTTTCTGGAGAGGGTGGGAGTGGGGCTGCAGCGCGTGCCCTCAGCGCTTATTGATCGCCACGTCGATTACAGTGATTGGATTTTGGGGGCAATTTAAGCAGTTTTGCCTGCTGGCTGAGAGCGGTGCGAGGCATTTTGATACCTGAATGTGGGTGGGTGCAGCACCCTCCAGCTTGCCCTCCCTGCTCCTACTCAAAGCCGTGCCCAGCGCCCTGCTGCTCTCCCCATTGCCTGTTGTGGTTTGGGGCAGCTGTTCTCTGCCCTGTGCTCTCTTTGTGAGATAGAAAGCTGTGAGCTCGAGATTTCCATCAATAATTAGCTTTGAATCATCACTCGGTTAAGTCTCGGGCCAAATACAAATGGAACGACTTTCTGCTTGCATTCAGCATGGTGAGGCTGTTCATTTCATATATGAGGCTGGTCAGGGAAGATTGCAGATTGATTTTTTTTCTTTTTAATTTGCATTCTCCTTGGATAAAACTAATCCTCCATGAGAGGGCCGTGGATGTGGCACTGGGGGACGTGGGCAGTGGGACGGGTTGGGCTTGAGGATTGCAGAGATCTCGTCCAACCTTAGTGATTCTATCTCCTGGATACTTGAAATCAAGCAACCGCACGTCTGATGGGTGCATCTGTGCTCACAGACGTCAGCTTGACAGCAGTGGTCAGCTCATTAAGGGTTTTTATTTGTTGCATATTGACATCTCTTTGTGGATAATCCATCTCAGTCTGCAGTGCCTTATTAGGGCTCCCGAGACGGAGATGCAGCAAACGTAATTGGCCCCATGCCTCAGCTGCTGCATCATACAGCAGTGCTGTGATGCTGCACACCTGCCTGAGCTGCAAGGCTGCCGATCCTCTGAGGGATGGGAATGATTTGGGATCAGAGTCCCACTTGCTGGTGATGTAGGCAGTCATTCGCTGTGCCACTGGGAGCAGGTGGTTTGTTCCAAATGCCTCCCCCAGGTACAAGGAAGATGGGAGAGCGCCAGCGTATGTTGTGCAGCAATTACTCAGGAGGCTTTGGGACTTCAGTGCCACTTGGAGGCTTTGTAACTATGATGGCTGTAATTGCTTCAATGAGTCCTGACAGCAGTTAACTTGAATGCAGTGTTACAGGAGCTGGCAGGTGGTTGAGCGCAGTCCGGCTCTGAGGCTGTACCCAGCACCATGGCACAGACAGAGCCAGCCTGGTGGGCTGGGAATGCATATAGGAGAGCATATGCTTTCCTGCATATAGGAGAGCAGTTCCCCTATAGGACAGTGTATCTGTGCTCCCAGGCGGTGATTTCCTCGGCAGAGGGAGGCTGACCCCTCTCACCTCCTGCTCTCCATCTCTCCGCTGCTCTGTAGCAGCTCCAATTTACCCCGCTCAGGTCCCCTTGCTTTTTATTTACTCTCTGCTTCTTGAAGTTGAGTTCTGTTCCAAAAGCAGCTATAAAAAATGGCCTCATTACAGATCACTGTTTACTGTGTCTCACTGACTTCCCGTTCGGATGTGCTGAGCTTTACAAAGGGGGGGGGGGGGGAGAGAAAGGTGCTCTGTTTTGTAGGGCTGAACTCGGGAGTGCCTTGCAAATAGGATCCTGCAGCAGTTTTCCTTCCCATCTTCCTACAGCATCACTGGGAGCAAACGTTAGAGAGCACCCTGAAAGCTTGCTGGAGCTGGAGGCAGTGCCCTCTTTCTCTGCTGGCTGAGGTGATGAGGTATGATGTGACCTGAGGCTGAAGGCTCCTGTGTGCTCTGCTGGGGTAGGAGGTGACTGAAGGTGTTGGATGGATCCTGCAGGCTGTGCCAAGGAGCATAAAAAGCAGTGAGGATGTTTTTTTTCCCCCTGTTGAATGATAGATGAGAGTTAAATACCTGCCTTCAATACAGTGCAGGAGCAATCTTGTGAATAGTTGCCTCGAAAAACACAAAGCCCCAAAACTCAGGCTGTTCTGTCACTCTTCCATTTGGGACCAAGCTTGGAAGCTGCCCTTTCTCTCAACAGCAGGCTGACGAGCTGCAAGAATTGCTTCATTTCTGCATCCTTGGTGGTGTCCCAGTGGGCTGGGCAACAGACATTGTGGTGCTTGGTTCCTGCAGGAGATAAACTGCTGTTCTGCAGTAGTGATACTGAGCTGCTTGGCTCTGTCTGGTCCAAGTGCTTGAGCGAGAGATTAGGCTGCAGGATTTGAGGCTTTTGCTGGACCAGGCCAGGTGTGCACCAGGGTTACACTGTGCTGAGAGGAATGGCTGTGCAGCCCTGGGGAGCTGAGCATCACCTCCTGGGTTCTGCAGACCCGATGCTTCCTTCTGCTCCTCCGCAGCCAGACGGAGCCCAGCTCTTGGCTGGGACAGAAATGTTGCTTCAGACTGACCCCAGGGCGAATTGTTGATCTGCTGCTTTGTCCATTCTTAAAGAAACAGAGCTCTTTTCTCAGCGCGGCTTTGGAGCCCTCGTGCTGCCGTACTTCTCCATTCAAATTCTTCTGAGCTGAGCCCTCCCGAGGGATTCTCTCAAACTATGCTGATCCCACAGCTCTGTTTTCATTGTTAGTTATTTATTTTGAGCATGGACGCACCTTCCTACAGCTGCATGACTGCTTTTCTTCCTCCCTCATGCAGGCTTGGCCCTCAGTTGCATCCTT